TTTTTAGAACAGCTGGATTGGGATCGTAATAGCCAGAGGGATATCTGGTTGCACTGTCACAATGTGGGCTATAACCTGCACGTATTCAGAACTAAAAAGCAAGAGATAAAGAGAGACCAGACTCATAGGTCAAATAATTGAATCAGTTGCTTCAAATTGTTGTCTCTATTTTGGCTGTGGCTGGTAGGTTTGTCTGCGAGTCGTGTTGGCAGGCAACCAAAAAGGTTAGGAGAGTCCTTTCTATTCTTTAAAGTCAATTGAGTTGTTAAAAGGGAGAGTATAAGAAATAAGAAGGAAGAACTTTTCTCAGTGGAGACTAGAGAAACTATTTAACCTGTGTCGATTTGGTGCCTCAAGTTTTGATGCGTGGAGGTTTTACATTTGCTCAATCGCTTATGGCGCATTTCCACTACAGCGCGGAGCTCGCTTTAAGCGTGCCGTGCCCGGCCCGTTTTTGGTTGCGTTTCCACTTAGCGTAGTACCGGCTAGCGGGTACTATTTCACAGTTTTTATGGCCCCATAAAATCGAGGTTCTTTCCGGGCCAACAACCAGGCTGAGTCGGGCTGAGTATGCTAAACTAGAGGGAGAAGGCAAGGGGGCTACAAGTTACAACTACAACAAGATGAACATATTTGACCGTGATTTAATTGTAATACACGTTTCAAAAATGATGCCGAAGTAACAACATACTGATACCGGTCTGCAGACAGACGGCAGGCGAAAAACCTTTTAAAATGCGTGTTTTCTAAATGGAGATCGGCTAAGCTAACGCAGTATCTGCTCCGATCATCCACACTCACAATAACGGCCTATACAGACATAAATAAACCAGCCAGTGTTTTCGCCATGACACAGACAGTCTGTGGTTTGTACTTGTTTAACTGTTGTCTAGTTTCTGAACAGATATGAGGAGCTGTGAGCTCTGAGTGCTAACAGCTAACGGCTGATGTTGTTTTTCTGTGGTTCTCATTGAAGATGACGTCACGGCTCCGCCTACACTGCGTCACTATAGTTACTGCCCCAGCTACTAAACTGTAATGGAAACGCAGCATAAAGTGAGCCAGTCCTAACAAGGCTTAACGAGACCTAGCCATACCGAGCGAGGCCCTGTAGTGGAAATGCTCCAAGTTACACATTAGAGGGAAAACAGCTTTATTTCCTCAATAGACTATCAAGTTTTTGGTGCCCTCCAGCACTGTTAAATGGCAGCTACAGATACAAACATCAAGCAAAAGTGTCTTTACTGTCTTCACTTTTCTTTATCCTATTAGTAATGTATCAATCCCAAACCAAGTATAATTCATTGCTTACAACACACACTGACCCTCTTTCTGTTTCAACTGATTGCATTACCAACAATAACCATGCTGTCTTCTGATAAACAGACAGATCACATGCCACTGCTTTGTGGAGCCAGTCTAACAGGCTGCCTTTAAGGAGCTTGTTTAACAGAGCCACAGATGGTTGGTTTGCTTCATTTTGATTGGTTTATGGTCAGAACATACTGTGGCCTGTAGGGAAATCATTATCTGCCAAAGACAGGTTTAGCTGCCGTTTAGCATATTTCCTGTGTTTGAACAAGGCTTATGTGTGGGCAGGCAAAAGGAGAGTTCAGATAGAGCAGACGCCTAACAAGTCTGAATGTATGGTAGGTATGTGATAGTTAACACATGCATACATAGTCATTTTATCTATGGAGGTACTAGTAACGCACATCTACTTACTACTATGTTTTGGATAATTCCTTAAAACCAGAGTGAAACCTTTTGGTAGACGTTGCAATTGTCAGTATCAGATCCGATCTTGTTACTTGATGTGTGTTGAGTGATACTAAATAGGCGTCTCTGTGGAGAGTGGAGTGTTAAACTCTGTCCATCTCCCCAGGTGACCGGGGGGAAAGTGGTGTGTATGTGGGATTTTCCCTGAGGCTCCAGTCTTCACAGTCTAGATCTAATGGGCTCTGACAGGATGGTAATAAGGTAGCAATGGACTCGCAGTGTGTGTGTGTAGCAGCAGCGGGCTAGATCCATGCTGACTAGTAACAGCCCAGCGTTATAAAACAGGTGTTTAAGACCCTGACCTCTTTACATTAACACGCTGTTACACACATTCACAAGGTTTAGGGTCTACAGACACCCATGGCCAGAATACTAATGCAGACACACATATACTGTACACACACACACACTCCTTTGGTTCTCCCTCTTGCACACAGCTCTCCTCTTTCCACTTTATTATTCCTGATGCATATTCATATCCAGCAGGGTCCTCAAGGCTGCCTCCTCTCTGATGAGTACTACCTAGTGTCAAGTGCACTGGGTCGAAATCATGACCAGTAATTAAACTCCATTACAGCTGCTGGTTAGACATTTCCAGGAAGCATCCTCTGCTGCAGGATGTTTTTTTCCAAACATTGGTTCTGTATCATCATCATCTGGCCAAATGAAGCACAAAGTAAGAGTCCACATTAAATACACTGATTTTTTTTTTTACACCAGCAACACGTTTTTAAGTCATTGCGCATGAATACAAACATATAAATATATACACATTAGGGATGGGAACGATTAATCGAATATTCAAATATTCTAAATTATTCAGGTATTCAAATATGAGAATATGAGTTATGAATATTTTTATTGTAATATTTATTTTTTATTTTTTGGGAGGGATGCCTAAGTTGATTACATATTATCAAATGGAATAATTCAATGTATACGACAGTGCTATAGCTAAATGTGTTAGGTCTAAAGGTGTGTTTTGCTCCGCTCACCGGTCCCTCACAGCGGGCAGAGCTGCAGCAGCTGATCTCTCTCTCGCTCTCGCGTCCGGTTATACTTCACTCGCGTTTATGTCCAAATCCATCAGATCTAGCTAGTTCTAGCTAATGATATGGCTGCTGCCCCTCCCTACGATCACACAGACTCAAAGCCTGATTGTGAATCGCCTCCGCACCCGGCTCTCCCCTGAGTAGACATGCTCATATTCTTAAAGAAGAATGAGTATTGAATAGCTGCATTCTGTGCATAGGCCCTGTTATAGGTTGTTGATCTCTGTTGTAATTGGGTTACGTTACCCTAACCCGTTATGTTGTTCGTGTATGATCCCTCTTTCATTTAAAAACCAAGTTATGTTTTAAGCATGAAAGCTGTAGGCCTATAGCTGTCAACTGTTCAAACTGTGATCACCAGTTCAATACATTTGACAAATTCGACTTGGTTTCTATACTTATTTGAACATGTATTTATTTATTTTTGCAATAAAAATGTTGTTATATAGTTAATGTAATTTCGGTTAATCGGTTAACCGTTTGTTTGGGGGTCGAATATACATTTGCTTTCAAATTCCCATCCCTAATACACATGCAGAGTAGAAAGAAATATATCTATAGGGAATCTATCAAATAAGTGAATTAGTAGTTGCAGTTTTTGTGAATTGTAAGATATTAGCCTTGAAAAGCTTGAAAATAAATGGATGGAAGACTTTTAACAGAATAGTACTGGTTACCCACTAAATTAAAAGAAATGCAAATAGAAAGAAAATGAGTTTGCATTAGGTGCTGGTTTACCTCAACACTTGTGATGATTACGGTTATGGTCAGGGGTAGATTAGGCTGAGAATGTTAATCACCCTAATCCCACTAGACATGAAATGCTTTCTGCATATTTCTACAGCCATGACTCTCATAACAGGATGATAGCTTTAGGCTACATGCTATGCTTTCCTGTGTCATGCTTAAATATCACATAATCAGTGATATTACTCTGGCCTAATGCAAAAGGCCCATGGGCTAACACAGCCCAGTACTACTGTGAGCATAAACATACACAATGTTTGCATTCTGAACAAGCTAAACAGCCAGATTAGCTAAGGTCTTTTGTCAGGAAAGACATTTCATTTTCAATTGCAAGGGCTGACCTAGATTTGCAACTGTATGCAGCAGGGCAAATATATTAGCAGTGGGTGGGGTGGGGGGGGGGTCGGAGATGGGGGTCAGCTGCTCAATAGTGCTCCTGGTTTCATGTTTTGCTGAAGGAAACAGTTTAGTTGGGTAGTTGCCTGCTGTTATGAGTCCTTGAACGCTGCATCTTTAAAGCAGAAAGACATCTGAAGTGCATTCTGGTGGCTCAGGAACGTTAACAACAACCCAGCAGCATCTGTGCATCCAAACGCTGCATCTCGACAGCTTGAGGCTGGCTACACTCGCACAGATGAGACTGTTTGTCAAGTCAAAAAGCGTAAACAAACCGCTAACATCTCCGTCCATTTTTAATGAACACAGACTTACGTATTTGTTGACACTGTAAGCTAAAGATAGGGCCGCTCAATATTTGGGGAAAGAATTAATTGATTATATGTATTAGGAGCTGTGATATAACAGATTTGACGTCAACATAACTACCATTACCCTTTCACATTACTCCTTATGAATATTTAACTGCTAAACACGTAGCTATGAGGGCTCTTATTAAGTCATTTGTTAATCCTCTCATATCTGTCTGGCTTCAGGCAGCTGCAGAGTTTGATCAAGTTTTGTTTTATTGGTTTTAAATGTTCAGCCATGAACAATAATGCTGACAGTTGTTAGTGGGAAAGTGTGTGTGTTTATGTGTTAATGCAAGTAGCCACTGCACACAGCAGCACCCATGTGTAGAGAAAATATAAACTCTCAATTCTTAGCTCAGGCTTTCTTTCCTGGTTACGCTCTGTTTCTCTCTGTCTTCCTTCACATCGGCCTACATCTTGAAGCCTGTCCCACTTTTGAAAATCTCTTCACCTCTTGTTGCCTTGACTGACTGCTGCCCGTCACGCTGACTCACTGTCTGCCTTTTTGTTCCTCGCCTCCACCTCGTATTTCGCCTCAATTATTGTGTTGAACACCGTCAGTTCAGAGAAGATAATGAGGATTTTAAAAGCAATCTCAAAATCGTATTAAATGTCATTATGTAAAAACAATTATGTTAAATTCACCTCTCGCTTTTTCTCTTTCTCTCTACAGCTCCACCACCCAGCAGATTCAACAGGAGAGTGTCAGGTAAGACGTGTGTGTGTGTCCTTTAGCTGTAATCCACACCGGAGACACCCCTGCCCGGCTGTCTCAGAGTCTGCGTTATACTGCGTGTCATGCACGTTGAGGCCATGCTGTAGACCAGTGGTTCTCAAACTTTTTCTGTCAGGCCCCCCCTTTGGAGAAAAAAAAAAGTCGGGCCCCCCCAACACAAATAGTCAGGCTCAGTGGCTGCGCCAGAGATTTATTTTGGGGGTTCTGTGGGGGAGCTTGACGTTTCATAGAGGGTGCTCAAACATTTAGGGTTTCCCATTAATGTACCGGGCGCTACAGTTGAATGTTCTACTGCAACACTCCCCACGCATATACACAGTGTACCCGCGACTGTTACCATGAAGGCACGATAATCAGCTCACGGCATATAGGTGTAAGCAGGGGTAAAGTGCTATTTTTATAGGTGGTGTGTGGACCTCACATAGGGGGGTCCGGGGGCAAGCTCCCCCGGGAAGATATTTTTTAAATCTTGAAGTTAAAAGCATCAATCTGGTGCACTTTGAGAGCAACATGAAGAGATCTATGGATACATCTCTCAACACCCAGATGAAACAGAACTGTGAACAGATTTACTTTTTCTTTATGGATATTTTACAAATCACTCCCCTTTGAAACTTTATTGTTGTTTTAGTGTCATATAGTATTTCATACCTGTTTTTCATTTATTCTCTTATTTTTTTTAAACAATAATGATCATATAAACGTGTGCCTCGGAAATAATTGTTTACATTAATGGTGACCAAAACGTTTGAGATCCACTGAGAGAGTCCTTTAGCTCACTGAGTCTCTCAGTCTGACAGGAGAGGACTCTCCTCCACTTTGTTGTTGAAAAGACTCCTTATATCCGTTAGCATAGCTCGCTAGCACCAGAAGCTAACAACAACGATCTCCGGTACCGGTGCGCTCTCTCTCGCACACACAAAATGGCTCGTTCCACACACACACACAGAGCCGAGCTTTAATGAAACACAGAGACCCAGACGTAATAGTACTGCGTCATATTATTTTCGAATCAATAATTTTTAAAATTATGATTTATTTATTTATTTATTTTTTATCTTTTTTTTTTTTTTTATAACAATTTTTCCTCCTGGTCTCTCGAGCCCCCCCTGGCATGCCTCTGCGCCCCCCACTTTGAGAACCACTGCTGTAGACGTACTGATTTGTATGTTGTTGGTGTTTTTGATAATGTGCGTATCTGCTTGTGTCCCAGGTTTAAAACACAGTGTTGAGAGACATCCCTGGGGTGTGTTTTGGGTCCTCTCTGTTTCTGTGGTCTTCTGTGTACCACGCTCCTGTTTTCTCACGCTTAGACTACCCGTCTAGTGTTTACACATAAGTAATGTCGTCAGCTGTCACGGAGCGCTGCACTTTAAATATGCTCTGCAGCTGATGTTTATCTTTACTGCTGTCCTCCTGTCTCTGTTGACCTGCTGTCTGTACCACAGCATCATAAAGGCTTGTTCATTTGTGCAACTTGGCAACTCGGAACATCCAGTTGTACAGAGCTCCTTGTTTTTTTTATCATGTGGTCAACAAAGTTTTTCTGTTGATAAAAAAGTTGTCTGTAGACATGTACTGTAGTGGTTATGGTGAAAACATTCTGATTCTTTTTTGAGCCCCGAAGATAAATTGTGGTAACACAACAACAGAAATGGAGCGTAACTGTGTTGCATGTTTCCCGAGGTGTTAGCAAGTTCTACGAAATAGTTTTGTTGCAGGTGTTTTAAGTTGGCGTTTCCTCGGGGAGACGCATTTGAACTTCTCCCGAGGGAAGAAGAAGCCAAATAGAATTATTAATGTTTTTAATAAATTCGAAAAAAAGGCTATGTGCTCACGCTTTCCTGAACCAATGTCGTTGGTGTGTTTTTGTGTTCCACCAATAATTGTATAATGTCCAGGACAAGATGTCACACCTTACACAGAAACATACAGGCCCTCGTACATTATGATGCAATGCAAGATGTGGATTCTTTTTTACGGGACTTTTATTTTTGCTCGCACTGTCAGAAAGATATTTATTCAATACTTTTGTCATGGAACTTCAGTGGAAGGCAATATATACTCAGGTGTTAATACACATTTTGCCGATCCATTTAAATAAGGTGGTCAAATATGATAAACACCTTTTTTAAAAGTGTTGCTTCAAAAAATAATTGGATCACAGATTTAAAGCAGTATTCTGAACACAAATGGAGCTTTTGAGGAGTGACTCTGAGAAGTAATGTGTCACTGCCCTCTCTGAAAGTATCAAAGCGGTTTCCCCTCTGAGTGGCCAGCTCCACGCTGGGTGTGGTCCGCTGTTATCACCACTGTGCTTTGTTGCACCTGTAACCAAAGACCTTGGTGATAAGAAGCTGGAAGCTGATTGGTCAATGCATTGCTACATTGACGCTCAGCAGTAGAGCTTTATGCTAGCATTTTTGACTGAAGGGAAGAAAAAAGAGACAAGAAGGCTTAAATAAACTGAGATAAATGGCCTAAAAATAATGCTGCGTAATATTTGTCTGTTTTTTTTTTTTGGCTCTTGATTTGTTTGGGAACATACTGGAGACACCCACGGTACAGGTGTTATACGCTTACAGCTCAAGGGTGTATTATTATATAATAAAAGAGATGAATTACAGACAATACATCTGTTATTATACACACACACACACACACACACACACACACACACACACACACACACACACACACACACACACCTACCTAACAGGAAGCCACCAGAGCGTAAAAGGGTAGTTTTCTTTTATTGCGAGTGTTAGTTAATGCAGGGCTATTGGTTTGGATTGAATTACATAGTTCAGGTGTTTCTGTTTTCCTGGTCTATAAATGTACAGAAATGCAGATTCAAGACGGAATAGTTATTTATTTTACAGTTATAGCAAATGTATTCAATATTTTGCCTTTTCTTGTCTACTTCATTTCATTTCATTTCAAACCTTTATTTAGACAGATAAATCCCGTTGATCTCTTTTTCAAGGGAGACCTGCTACGTTGCCAGTCAGTCAGAGAAGAGCATTTTTAAGCACATAATAATTTCCCTCTGGACAAATATGTGCGGCTCTAAGCATTCTAAGAAATGTGGAAAAGCATTTACTGAATTGGTAGATGAGCAAGGTTAAAGGAAAGAGGTTGATCCCAAAAAGAAGATCTGAGCATTGCTGCTTTTTTGAAGTGTTGTGACCCAGTGGCCTAGTTTAGATTCTGAACCGTTCTTGAAATCGCAGCGTCTGGAAGTGTTGTCAAAGTTACACTGGGTAGTAGTTTATATATTTCTAGGTCTTCTATCTTTTAAGAGTTATTTGAATGTGTTTAGCTAACTGCAGCTAGAGAAGGTAGCACAGGACTAATTCATCCTTACCATTGTAGAAGAAAAATGTGATTTGATACAATCCTCATCTGAAACAACCCACGCTACATTCAGGAAGGAGACGGCAGCAACATTTTCTCCATCAGGGTTTTCACACATGAGAAATATCAGCCCACAATCACATCTACATTTCATTTTCTTTGGCCTGAAAACAATGATGACATGATTACATATTTGCATTTGATTGAATAACAAATCACTCCTGTTAGTGTCCAAGGCTTTGTCAGCATAGAGGAATAAAACACATTTGAAGTTAGCATGGTAGACGTCAAATCTTATTGCTAATGGCAATGTGTGACGAAAATGCAAAACGGATGTTCACACTAACATCTATGTGTTTATTAGGGCTTCACAATTTAGGAAAAATAACTACTTGCAATTATTATGACTGATATTGCAATTTGACAATTTGGATAATTATTTAATCATAATTATTTGTACATAACATCTTGTGTTCTGGGGTCATATCTCGTCTTGGGTCCTGATCATGTTCTAATGAACTGCACTACATTCTGTCTTGAGAAGCACCGAGGCTCTCATTTGAAGGTGTTTTGTTGTATTTGGTCCATTGTATTTACCTGGCCAATCTAGCTGAACTAAAGGAGTTAACATCAGAGGTCACACTGCTCCAAACATGACTGGTATGAATGCCGAGAGATAAGATGTTCCACTCATGATTGCACACACGCACTCCCACAGACCGCCATGTGTTCTGTGGTAAATGTCATGTGAGGAGCAGAGTGTGTCTCGACAGAGTTTGGAGAAAACACAGACACAGTGACAATTTGAAATGACCTTGTCAGTGTTTGTCACCCGGTGTGGGGAAACATGTCACTGTGTGTGTGGTTTCCTCACTTCTGAGCCCCTCCTGTGTCCCGCAGTAATGATGTCCTCCCGTCCCCTCTCCTGCAGGCCAGGCCTCATTTTCTGTTATACAATATCTTCGTGTGTGTGCTTGTGTAACATCTAACCTTTGCCTCTACTGTACTGTGTGTGTCTATGGGTTTGGCCAGTAACTGAAATAAGTCTGTGTTGGAAACTTTGTGGGTTTTTTTGTTCGTATGCTTGTGATTTGAAAACACTGAAACTCATTCTTCCCTCAACATGTATTGAACTTGATAAACTGTGACCTATAAAGTACTAGCCAACCAATTTGGGTTTTCGAAAAGACATCTAGAGAGCAGGGCGTTGTTTGTTTTGTTGCATTTGATAAAATACAATCATTTAAATGATAAAAACTGAGAGGAAATCGCTTAAATTAACGCTTATCAAGCAGTGATTAACATTGTCTGCATTGTCCATTTGCAATGCATTTATTTAAAGAAATATACCAAATACATACGGTATAATACAAATGAAATAAATGTCCACAGGTCATTAAAAAAGGTCACTTTGTAAGTAAATGAAATGTGTTTTTCTGCTCGTAACAACAGCATTTATCGTCAGATAGAAATATCTCCTTATTTCTGAAAGAGAACGTAAACTTGCATAAGTAAATAAATGTTAGTGTAGTGTCCTTTCCTGGTGTTTGCTCATTGAATATACTAAAGAAATATGATCGGAATAAATCATGACTTTGCATGCATGCCAAACAAAAGATATTTTGTCACCATGATGGATATCTGTTGTGTAGAATCTGCAGACTTTGTTAAATTAGAATAAACATCTGTAATGTGAATACATTACAATGCACATGTGCTAACACACTCAGCATTTGCAGTTGGAAGTCTAAATATGTTAAAAGTTATTTGATGATTTACACAAAAGTGAGTATAATCACAGAAATCTATTGTAAACAGGTCCGTAATGTTGAGTCCAGAGTCCTCGCTGCTCGGAACCCACAGCTGTGTCTGCAGAGACAACCCTGCCAAAGCTCAGTTACTGCATAAATGTTATGATATGATATCACAGAAGAAATGTCAGCCTGTCCCGTAAGAAACTGAACAGATTGTGCTACTTGTTCCCTTTCCACGTGCGTAGAGGTAGTGTATTCTGACACAGTGGTCACTACCTGCCAGCAACCCGTTAGCTTGTTGTTCTCAATACTATGTTGAGTTTTGTTTGTTGGAAACTCATTTCATCTAGTTGATACTCTGACCTAAGCCATGAAGAATGTATTCACATGGATTGTTTAATCTCTCGGGACATATTATTACAGAGAGTGAAGTGTGTTTACACGTCTTCCCTGCAGTGTGTGCGGAGGCGTTCAACCCAGACGAGGAAGAGGAGGACACGGAGCCCAGGGTGGTGCACCCCAAAACAGACGAGCAGCGCTGCAGACTGCAGGAGTCCTGCCGGGACATCCTGCTGTTCAAAACACTAGACCAGGTACAACTGAGCCACACAGGAAGAGACACGTACACACGGGGACTTGTGACTAGCTTACTGCTTCAGTCGCCCTATAAGAAACACTCTGCATTCGTTCTGTTTCTCCACTCATTTCTTCAGGATCTCCGCTTTGAATTAGCCACTGCATGTAGAGCCACACGTATAGACGTCACACCGACACTTATGAACCTTTTACTCAGTGACCACAGAAATGGAACGACTTTCATAATGTTGCACAATGGAGTAGTAACCCTACAATTGGGTTAAATGTCCCTCAAATCAGCAACATCTAACGCGATAACATTTATTAACATATTAAAGATTCTCATGCTGGATTTATTATTAATAATGTGCACAACCATTAAACCAAAGATCATAACTTTAAGTTATCAACGTAACAATAAACACTTTTTAGGTATATATTTGCTTAATTTAGGAGAATAAGAGTGAAACATTGTACATCTCTTGCAACCTTTACAAATAATGACTGAAGCATTATTTTAAGGTATGGAGTAAAAATATGAGCTTCATCTGACAGCTAGTTCGACCTGACATGTGAAATAAAGCGATACAATGGCTGACTTTGTTCTTATCTAGATTTTGTGCTTGCACTTTGAGGTTCATTATGGGGGAGGTTGCAACCTCATATGAAGGAATGCTCTCGTCCACTAGAGCAGTGGTTCCCAACCTTTTTTCCCAAGAGCCCCCCCAAATGACTCCTGTTGGAAGTTGCGCCCCCCCCCCTTGTGTGTGTGTGTGTGTGGGGGGGGGGGGGGCGCAACTTCCAACAGGAACGCGCAACAGCGGTAATTAAAGTTTAAAAGTCTCTACATGCTACAACTACTGTCACAAACTGGATGAATGTGAAGTATTTTGTTAAAGGAGGATGAAAGCGTAATTAAGGAGCACTATTGGAGTGTCTTTGATGGTTATTGGACTCAGGATTAATTTATTTGGATTCCCGCTCTATGAAGAAATTAAAGGACGGCGCAAGTGGAAACAATTCACAAAGGGATTAAACTGTTTTAAACACATGCTCAAAGTAAACCGGATTTTGCCGATGTGTTTATGTGGATTCAAAAGTCGTAAATAATCTACAAAATGGAGGAGACCGATCTGATCAGAGAAACTGTGACAAATAATACAACTGAAACCGGCATGGACAATGACTATGTTTTAAAAATGCGCTTATCCAGACAAGCCTGGTTTGGACACTTTACGGGCAGAAACATTTCTATTAAAGAAATAATTATACATTTCTGTCTTTGTGTGCCTTTAATACTTGAATTTTTATTAAAATTAGTCAATTATTTTTTATATTTTATTGTAAGAGACAAGGCTTTTAGTGACAATCATGTATTGCGTTACAATTATATGTAAAAAAATAAATAAAATAAAAAGTCTAAATATGATATTTGGCCTCAAATCATCTGAGGCCTGGCGCCCCCCCTGCGATCTTTGGTTCCCAGGTTGGGAACCACTGCACTAGAGAGAAATGTTGCTTTCAGTTCATTTCCCCACCCTCCACCACAATAAACCACATGTCTGAGGGGTATTTGGCAAGTCATGTATATATGTTGGAGCAACATTTCCAAATGTAATCCAGTACAGCTGCAGCAGCAAACAATAAGAAGGATTGACAGCATAAATGTTGCTATGGATTCACCCACAAAGTACAGGGGTTTCTCTCCTGGTCGCTCGGTGTATAACATCCCTTTACTTCACACATCTCCTGGGGCAGATCAGAGGATAAATATGTACAAAAACATTTCTGAAAAAGATAGAAATAGAGTTCACGACATGGCCTGCAGAGAAAAGGGACAAATAAGTACTTAATATAAATAATATAAAATAAGTTAACATAAGAGGACATGGAGAGCCTTGGTAGCCGTATGGTTACAGCGCACGCCAAACAACCGCAGCGTCCTGGGTCTGACTCGACCTCTGGACTTCTGCTGCATTTCATACCCCTCTCTCTCTAATACATAATAATAATAATAATAATAATACATGTTATTTATATAGCGCTTTTCCTGGTGCTCAAAGCGCTTTACAAGCAAGTAAAGAAAGAAAATAACAACAAAAGTAAAAAGTGCTAAGCTAGGTGGGCAAGGGGTAGTGGATTAGGAGTTGAAGGCAACAATGAGATTCCTAACATATGGAAATCTGCATATGTTCTTCCTTTACTGAAAGGAGGGGATCCCTCATCTGTTAATAATTATAGGTCAATTTCAAAATTATGTGTTGTAGCGAAGGTCCTTGAAAAGCTTCTCAGTGAACAACTTAAATTATTCTTGGACACAAATGACATTTTGTCAGAGCACCAATCCGGTTTTAGAAAACAACACGGCACAACAACTGCTGCTATTAAAGTGGCGAACAACATAATTGAGGCATTGGACTGTAAAAACTATTGTGCAGCTCTATTTATTGATTTGTCAAAGGTGTTTGACACAGTTGATCATATCATCCTGGCGGAAAGACTTCACAGTATCGGCTTATCTAGGCATACTGTAAGTTGGTTTTTAAATTATTTATCAGCGAGAACCCAATGCGTCCAATTTTGTAAGGCAAGAGTGAAAAGGTGAGTTTTGAGGGATTTTTTGAATGACGTAAGAGTGTTGGCAGATAATACAGCTTGTAGTGTGCCTGCAGGGCCGTCCCTCCCTACAGGCAGACTGCGTAGGGCCTTACTTTGCGGAGGGGGCCTCATCTTGCTTAGGGAGCCTCAACTGAGCCGAAAATGCGGCGCAACTATGCGCTCATGCGGCGCACTCCCCCGTCGACGCTCGCGAAACAGAGGGCCTCATCATATAACTTTGCGTGGTGCCTCATGTTGGCCAGGGACGGCCCTGTGTGCCTCTATCCTTCAATGTGTCTTATAAAGGTGAAAAAATCATCTTCAAAAAACAACATAACTAATGCTCATTTACATTGTATGATGAACCAAGCATTCTCTTCTCGGCTTCATCTACTTGTCTTATTGCATGAAAGCCTACATTCATAGAAGCCTATGTTATGATGTTATTATGTTGATGAACCCTCCTATCTTTAGGCATAAGACGATTTTTTTAACCAGTTTTCCCCAGAAAGCTGTTCCATACCCCATATATCTGTTATGTTTCATTTATCCATGTGTTAATGAACTTGTTTAGGAGCAACTCACATGAGCTAATTCATATAGCTTGTGACGATATGATTTCCACATAAATCAGTGTTTCTCAAACCTTTTCATACCAAGGACCACTTAACCAATAAAAAAACACTTGCGGACCACCTAACTCCACAAATATCCAAAATCACATCACACGTTTGGTACAAGCAAGTGGCAACATGTGTGATGAAGGTGTTGCGCTGGGCTATATCATGCAATTGAAAGTGAAACTTAAGCTCGCTCCATTGCGGATATATTCCCGCGAGAGTGCGAAAAACTTAAATTTATTTATTTATTTCAAGTGTGAAATATTACCAATATACTCACGGACCACTAGGGGGCGCTCACGGACCACCAGTGGTCCGCGGACCACACTTTGAGAAGCACTGTCATAAATGCACTGTTTCTCCACATCCTCCGTGCCTGACGTCCTCCCTCTCTGCCGCTACAGGAGCAGTTCTCGGAGGTGCTGGACGCCATGTTTGAGCATCGGGTTCAGCCCACGGACCACGTCATCGACCAGGGAGACGACGGAGACAACTTCTACGTCATAGAGAGGTAGGATGCACACACTCATGTCAGGTCCTGAAAGCAAGGGCAATTTGATTACTCAGATATTGTTTGTTTACAAAGCATGGATGACAGAAAGGGTACACAAAAAACAGACAAAGGAGAGCTGTTGGATACGTATCTATTACACTGAATGACCAGACGAGTAGAACCACTTGTATAATGTAAAGCCATTTAAAGTGGAGACAAGTAAAAATACTACAGACATGTGAAGCAAATATAGCACCACCAAACACAGTCGGTAAAATACCATACAGTTGAATCTGACAGACTTTTATATTTATTTGCATAAAAATGACAGTAGCATAATGATGTAGTGGACCACAATAAATGTTTCAACATGTATTCAAAATGTACAACAGTGTGGCCATTTCACTGGTGTTTACACGTTGGTTATGGTTAACGCTACACTTTTTATGATGTTGTGTATGTCTGCCCGTGTATACAGTACATATGAAGGCTGTGTGTCATTTCCCTGCCATATTGCTAATGTAACGCTTACTGTGTACACAAGACTTACAGGACAGGTTTAGTTGCCCAGCTGGAATACAATGTAAAGTACCAGGAACGTTCAAATGGAACTTGTTTTACACAATTAAAAACATGCTTGTTGTGTAAGAAGAAATACAAATACTGTCCGTTTTCATTTATATTTATTAAAGTTTCCACGAAGATCCTTCACTGCACAGAACCAGCTAACCAGCTACAATCCTTTTTTAAATGACTTTTTATTACTAGTAATTCAGCTAGCCTAGAAAAAGCCTTAAGATGGCTGTTTTGATCCTCTGCCACCAAAGCAGAACAGCCTGGCCTCTATTCATTCTTGGGACGGCCTATATCAGTTCAACACAGCAGTTTAGTTCCAGCTATCCTTCAATCTGCACACACACTCTCTGACAGCGTGCTCCGTGTACAGGAGATGTGCGATGACCTTTCATAAGCAGCGCGCCAGCCTGCCCTCGTACTATCCCAGGATTTTCCTTGGCCTGTAAAAGGCGTAGGTGGCAGCTAATGTCACCAGCAGGGTGGGTGGGGTGTGAGCACGGACTCACACAGAGATGGAAGGATAAACAAAAAGAAGAGCAGGAAAGAAAACAGGACGCAGTAACACGTTGTTTAAATGTTTCCCTTTGTTTTAATATAAGGGAATTCCCCCATATGCATTCATCTCATCTGCGTTGATGTTACATAATGTCAGTCATCAGCTGAACACACAAATATGTTTTTCTGAGGCTAAATCCCTCCAATATCCACCAAGCATCTACCTGTCCTGTCTGTCTGAACCAACCTTAACAAACCCAAACAGACCCCCACTGAAGCCTTGAAGACAGGAAGTAACTAGAAGTCTCTCAGAAACCCTTAGACTGACTGGGTGTTTCTCAATGTCGAGGAAGGCTGCTCCAGAGCCACTATTTCAAGGATGCTACGTCATCGAGTCCCGCCGAAGGACTGTTCCAATGTCCAGGATCCTTGGAATTCTACCGAGGCCGGCGTACTTCGTAGCGAGAAATTTCGAGGCTGCACATGTGTAGACTCCGCGGTCTTAAAATACCCACAATGCTTTGCGCACGGACCAATTTCCAAAATCTTTGGCAGAAATCGCGCTCCATTTAAGGCGGGGCCTCGCATATGACGCACACCTGTTAGTCTGTTCCATAATTCTTCATTTTCCGAGGCTAGGAAGGATTCTTGCCTCGCTTGTGAAGCAAGTGACTCGGAAGACATATCCTACCAAGGAAGCGTCCTCGACATTGAGAAACACCCACTAAGTAAAACAGGCTAATGTGGTCTAAGAAAAAATAAGATTGACTTTATGGATCCCATCAAATGTTTTCAACACAGCACAATGTTAACAAGGCATTGGACATAATGTGAAAAGGAAAAAGAGTAGAAAATAAACAAACATAAAATAGAAACATCTCAAAATAGAAAAATATACAGAACTAAAAAGTAAAATATATACATATTGACAGTGAAAGATAAAAATCTGTAGAAAAGTGTTTTTATATATGTTTTCATCTGCTGTAAATTAACAACACAAGGTGTGTATCATCCAGTTCCTCTCCATTAGTCCTCCGGCCACCGTGCTACATTTCAAAATATATTTAATGAACTTCCTCAGGCTATGGATTGATCAGACTGAGTTGTCTGAAACAGGAAGTAAACAAGTTTATTAAAACAATCTTTCTTCTTAATGTCTCCTATGCTCAAGCTGATGTATTGTGAATAATGTAGAAAAAGTACTTTAATAAGAATCTAACCGCAGTATTTAAAGTATTACATAACGTCCACATTGACTCGATTAACTGTATTCAGGCACAATGACGACAACAAGTGCTCATCGTCCCCATCGTCATGGTAATCCAGTCAAACTAAGTCAATACTAATACAGCAGGCACGAGGGCTTTAACCCCACTCCTCAGCCAATGGGACGACAGACGAGGTTACAAAGTGACTGTTTAATCCTGCTGCGCTACAGCGCTGCAAATTACCCTCCCCACATTTAATCCTCATACAGAGGGGGGGGCTGCTCTGCTGACGTGTTACTGTCAATCACAGTTATATGCCAACATGAAAACATTGTGTTGACGCTGCACATGTAGACCACTATGTTTACAAAAATGCTAATACCTTTACAAGCTGTAGTAAAAACTTCCAAATGCATGAAATATACAAACAATGTATACACACTACTGCACCCTCACAAACAGTCAATGATTTGCTTGTCCAATCAAACACAGGGTGCTGCCCCGAGGCTACAGATAAGCTGCAATTAGATGCCTGTTTAAACCTGTCAGTGGGTTAATAAACAAAACAATGTTCACTTCATCTGGCTCAATTAAATAAATCAAACTCATTTTTCTGGGTTCCCTTTCCGATGTCTCTTTTTCTATCAGTTGTCCTAACTCTCTCTCGCTCTCTCTCTCTTTCTTCAGGGGGCTGTTTGACATTGTGGTAATGGGAACAACGGTGGGTCAGTACAACAATAAGGGCAGCTTCGGGGAGTTGGCACTCATGTACAACACGCCACGTGCCGCCACTATCGTCGCCACCAATGAAGGGGCACTATGGGGACTGGTGAGAGTGCACTAATAGACACACACACACACACACACATACTTTTAAGGGATTTGTTTGACACGCTAACTGATTATGATTATAAATTGCTGTAAGCCCCAGAGGGAATACACATTTTTGTAGAAGCAAAGAATTGTCTAATTGAGTAGTTTTCAATATTTGTAGATTATAAAATGTGCTTATGAGATGTTTTAATTTTCATTTCAACTAGTACCACATCTTTTTTTAATTGCTCCGTAAGTTAATAAGAAAAAATGTAAATATGAAAGCTCAGTTGTGCCTGTACTTGTGTACTTAGGATAGTATTGTGAGCATGTTGTACAGTAACTAGAGGCAGTGCATTGAGCAGAGCTGCTCAGACTTCTTAAGAATGGAGTCCTGTTCTCTATGAATGGAGCTGTGCTTCACGCAGCTGCAGCGCCTCCCTGTGGCCGAGCACGGTCTCACAGGCTGAGAGGGTCTATTTCAGGAAGTGCGTGTGTGTGTTAACTGTTTTTTCTTTTTCCCTAGGACCGCGCCACATTTCGTAGACTCATTCTGAAGAACAATGCCAAGAAGAGGAAGATGTACGAGACCTTCATCGAGTCTGTGCCCTTACTCAAATCACTGGAGGTGAGTTTAGTTGTTCTTGGATTTCTCCTTCACAGGGTCTTCTTTTCAGGATCCCACCCCACGGCTAACCATCCAGCTAACAGCTAACCACCAGCCTGTTGATGATGGAAAAAGTTCTACACTCACTTACAAAATGAATATTTAGTTCAGATAATAGCTAAAAGTAAAGTTTCGACAATTATACATGCTACATATAATATAGTGTAATGTAATGCTATTTCTCCAACACTTCCAAAAACTTGACCCTTTTTTCCTACCACTTAGGCTAAGATGTACTTAACCTACACATGGGGTGAATGGTCTGAAACAAGAACACTTTGGGAGATGAAGTGATGGATTGAGGAATGTCTGATGTCAATAAAACAATGTTTGTCTCTCCTCCCTGTCCCAGGCAAATGAGAGGATGAAGATCGTGGATGTATTAGGATCCAAGCAGTTCCCCGACGGCGAGCGCATCATCACACAGGTGAGACGTGGACACACCTGGCGCCGTTTCATCCACATATGAATTGTATAGGATTTTAACATACAAGTACATATACTTTGAAATGTATCTACAAGGTGTCTGTTTCTTGTATCCACAGGGAGACAAAGCCGACTGCTTCTATATTGTAGAATCTGGAGAGGTCAAGATCATGATGAAGAGTAAAGTAAGACACTCCTCTAAAACTGACATTTAAACAAAAATGGCCTGTGATAAATGTTGTCTTTTTCTTTTTTTTATAAACTTTGTTTATTGGGTTTTTCCAACAGCATACAGTTATTCTATCAGAGCATGTATCAAAAGTAGGTAAACAAATCTTCCCTTTATAGAAAGCTAGGTAGAGTAACAATCCCACACAGACAGAAGACAAACAGACATACACAAACAGACAAACAAAAAATACACAAATAAATAAATAGAAAACCAGTCGGCTAAAAGAAAAATGTCAATACTAAACAATAAATGTCAGTACGGCAGCACCTCCTCCCCGAGACAACCCGTCCAGTGTTGGGACCCCTCCAAGATGCAAAAGTTAACTTTATCCTCTTAACATATTTCCCCAAATGTATGTGAGGAGCCACTCGGAGCAAACCGGATAAAGGTTGTCTTTAACTGAAAACTGGTACGTAAGAATGAGCCATATTCATTTCAGCTTCCTTTTTTTAATCTTAATAGATCACTACCAAGTCACACACTGAATTCATGTAAATTCTCGTTTCACTAAAACACAGAAATTGATCAGACTTGACATTACAGGAGATGATATTGCTTTAAAAGTTTTAAATATTGTAAAATATAAAATGTAATTTAAGCAATCTATAAGCTCATGTTAGCCGACTGGGGTCTGCATGAATTAGAGTTTATTTTCATTTTTTACATTTTGTCAAAGATGGATGTTGAATTTTATCATAATTGGTCAAAGTAAAACAAACACAAATAATAAATGAATATATAATAACAATACATTACATTTTTCATTTATTTATTCTGAAACTATATGTAGACATTATACCTAATGAAAAAGAACTTAAAAAACCAAATCTATAAGAACTAAAGCTTATCCTTTCTGAAACATGCATTTATTGTTCCCCATTTCCCCAGCAGCTTCTGTTCAGCTGTAATGAATGGTTCAAACAGGCCCGATCACAACGTTCTCAGAGGCTGATCAATATTCTACATTTGTTTTTTTATGTGCAGGAATAAGCACCGACACAAAAGCTGATCATATATTTCCTAGCAGTCATTATCCTTGCAGCACATCCTGACCATAACAACCCACTCTCCCTAGTGAAGACCACCAGAGTGTCAAAGTGTTTCCTGGTTTTGCTTAGCAACTGCGTGGATCACAATAGCTGCTGAGCTCTTCTGGCTCGGGGTGAGAGAAAAACGAGATGCCCAGTGGTTGTTCACATTTAACGGTCTCCTCTCTCCCCCGCAGACGAAGGCCGACCATGCGGACAACGTGGAGGTGGAGCTGACGCGCTGCAGCAGGGGTCACTACTTCGGGGAGCTGGCCCTGGTCACCAACAAGCCCCGGGCCGCCTCCGTCTACGCAGAGGGCCCCGTCAAGTTAGTGGGTGAGAAGAAGTACACTCCGACACACTCGTTTACCACGTCTGTCCGCATCGATGCTAATCAACGCTAATGTGATGTAGCTTTGTTTCAAAGTTAGATGTCCAACAATGTGATATCTGCATCTGAAGCACCTTGTTATGTCAAATTAATATATGACATACGATTTTGATGTGTTGTGTTTTAATCAGTTTTCATTCATTATTTAAAAAGCTACCATTTTAAAAGATTCAATAAATCCTTGGTATATAGTGATAGTGAAATGAAAAGCATTATTTAAGCCACTCAACCTTACAACACTGCCTGTGGTGATAATATCCCACTAATAACACTCTTACAAGCAATTTGTGTCCGGCTCGTCACCTTGTATTCGTGTTGATTAAAGGCAGTTCAGCCGTGATTAAGCCTTTTTTTAAGTGGTTGCTGTAATTCAGGCTCTACAGTGGATGAGCAGCACTTAACATTTGAAAATGAACGCAGGAGTTTTAAAAGCTTGTCGTGTTTCTCTGTCACCTCTTTGTCCTCTGGTGTGAAGTCTGCTAAATGCTAATTGCACCGCTTTTATTTTTTTATTCAAACAGGATTTTTGAACAGTAGATGTAGCACTCCCCTATTTTTACCCCCTTCAATATTAAACACACACTGTCACACTTACCTGTGTATCTTTGTTGTACTGTAAGTACACTAGTCTCCAACAGCTGCTCGGCTTTGAAGCACCTCCCGCAGCAACACACTGTCTGCTGTCCTTGTATCATTCTCCCTGTATGTTTGGACTGTATACAATTCATCTGCCGTTAGGGGAACACTTTGAGCAAATGAGCACAACAGTTTGCTTCAAAAGAGGCCTAAACATCACTCTAAGAAAATGGCTTCATAATAAGAAAGTATGTCTTGTCAAAATAAGTTATTTATTGAAATAAATGGTGATATATGTAGTATCGTTTAACTGTTAAATGTGCTGGTATTCAAATGTTGATGCACGATCTGTCTCTATAATTGTTAGTGTGATGGGGATTATGTTACGTTTGTACGGTCTGTTTATTGTTATCTGTGTACCTGCACAGGAACTGTAGATGAATATAAGCTTATAGTTCAATCAGGCATAAATCATCTCTTTTTTTGTTTGCGAATAAGGTTTAGTTTCACATTGTCCTTGTTTAATAAAGAACACATGAAATCAGCAGGACTTTAAGGATCCTCTGAGGCCCAGTGAGGACATTTAAGATGGGACCAGGGGGTATTTCTACCTGAATCGCACAAATGAAAACAATCTGCTTAAGACACAGCTAACATCTCTCTCTCCCCCTCTCCCCCTCCTCTCTCTCTGCAGTAATAGACATCCAGGCGTTTGAGCGCCTCCTGGGTTCCTGTAAGGAGATCATGAAGAGGAACATCTCCCACTATGAGGAGCAGCTGGTGGCCCTGTTCGGCTCCAGCATGGACCTGAGAGACTGAGCCCCCCACACCACCCTCCGTGCCTTCTATTACACACACACACACACACACACACACACACACACACACACACACACACACACACACATCATGTAGTGGCTATACAGACTCCTAATAAGCTTTACACAGGGCGTACAAACACTTACACTCACACATACATGCACACACACCTTGTTGCTTGAGCCAGCTTCAACCTCTCAGTATGAACGTCTCTGCTGCAGTGACCTTAATACAGGTAAAGCAGCGGAAGGACATAAAACACACAAACACACACTCTCCAAACACACGTTTAAAAACACATCATCATGCTTCATACGTGCAGGTGTCGCATTCATGTGAGCACTTAAACAACTCAAGGTTGTTCCAATAAGCCTCAGAAAAGGCCACATCAAACACACACACACACACACACAGGGGTACAGATACACATAGGCAACCACACTTGCAAAAATGGACACATTGTGGTAAAATGGAGACGAAAAACTTTTAAAATCTCTGAAAAGGAAAATGTATCAAAAATGCAAAAAAAAAGAGAAAGAAAGTTTAAAGAAGACAGATAAGTTTTAGAAACGTTTTATGATGATAAAAAAACAGAAGCTTTGATAAAATATTATTTAAATAAAAAAAGTGTTTCCTCTTTGGGAGGCCGGGGTGCAGAACTTTGTGAACGCACTCCATTTCTTCCTCTACTGTTGTTGATTGAGTTGAGTTAGTGCTGGTGATTATTGCAGTACCACAGAAGAAGCAGTGAACAATAAAACCCTACGTTTTCTGGGCCATTGTTATTCTATCATCGACACAACACTTCATTGTATTGAATTAATTATTAATGTATTGTTATTATATATTCATTTATTATTTTTTTTGTTTTACTTTGACCAATTATGATAAATTCACCATCCATCTCTGAAAAAATGTAAAAACTGAAAAAAATTCTAATAAAAACATTAGTGCTTATTTCTCCTTGATTATCCTTGAATGAGTTGTCCTGGATAAAAAAATGAAAAAATAAAGCAAACATTTTGTTAAAAATCTGGACTCTTTGTTGAATTTCTACTCAAACTCAGCTAATCACTTCAGAATGTGTTTTTGAAGGATTCAGGTACAGTATATTTACACTCGCATATGATGGATTCAATAAACATTACCTTGCATTACAACAGCCTTGCTGCAAATGTTAAGCACATAATCACTGTTTGTTGCCTGAACTCCATTGTTATGTTAGTGCAACAGTATGTGGTGCCATGAAGACAATATTCTGTTTAGTGTGTTTCAGTGTTGCTGAGGGTTGCATACACGGTTGCAGACAGACCCATATTTGTATACGGCAATAACCTCTGTAAACAACTTTTTTATTTCTGTATGTACTTTAGCATAAAAGGGTTTGGCTAATTCAACGCTAATGAGCTTGCAGGATTCTAGCCATTTTGCATTTGTATCCTCAGGAATGATTGCACATACTGTAAGTCGCTTTGGATAAAAGGGTCAGCAAATGAAATGTAATGTAAAAGTCAGAAATGTCCCTCCGGGGACTCGTATACAGCCTATGACACATTCTGTCCTTTTCAACCCACACTTTGGATAGGGAAAAAGGTATGGAAGAAACATTTAAAGAGAAACTCACAAAGGAAGGATTATTATACAAGGACAGACAGATAGATGTTGTGTGTACAGAATAGACAAGCGGTACAATTACATTATAGACGAGTTTGTTAATTTGTTTAGATCCAGGAGGATGTCAAGCTTCAAGGCAGTGACGTAACTATTGACGGTGCAACGCACCGGGGCCCAGAGCCGGCCAGGGGCCCATTCAATAAAATAAAATAATAATAATAATAAACAATTGCACCAGGGCCAATCACAAACTGCTTTAAATTGTCACCAAACAAATGGCATCTAAGCCTTTGATGTCCTCCATCATCCATCGAAAGGCTACAGAAACCCACAATAAGTTAAACTGAATCGTTCAGATAGAGATGAGGAGAGGTAATACACATTTAAAATACTGCTGGGCTGTTGTACCTACTCTGAAGTACCAGTAGCTTTTTCTTATATAGTAACACTCCTATCCACTAGGTGGCAGACAATTCCGCAGCAGCCACATTTCCTCCTGTTACAGTAGAGGCAGGATTAACGGTTAGAAACTGACCGTGGAACAGTTCACATCGATGGTTGTTAGCTGCTGTGTTCCCGCGTTGCTGGAATCAACGCCGACCCCAGATCAGCTGTCACTGAAACGAGCACGGGAGGGAGAGCCCCGGCGACGAGCCGCGAGAATAAAGATGTAGGTAACGTAGTGAGAAACAAACACAAATGTAGCATATTGTTCGTTAACAAACAGTAAAGTTGTGGTCACTCCAAATTTTAAACAAATGTCACTTCATGTGAAAAGCTGAAAGTGAGCTCATGAGCTAGCTAGCATGTAGCACAGAGTTCCACCTGTGAGTGTGTAGCTGTAGTCTTACCGTACATGGTAGTGGGTTCGAAGAGGAAAAATGTGTCCAAAATATAGGTTGTTTTCTCCCCTACGACAGCCAACTGGTCAAATGGTTTCATATCTCAAATGAAAGATGTTTATAGGCTTCCCTCAAACATTATGTTTCATTCATTTTAGTCTAGGGCATGCAAAGATAGGACATTCTCATCTTAGTTGAGGCGACTATATTTTTGTATTTCATAGTTTTATATTCTATATAAGTATGAGATGTGTGTGTCTTACTCACTTTTATAAATCGCATGTTTAAGTTTACTGTCACAAGTTTACAGTGGGTTTGGTTACTGCAAAACATTTCAGAAGGAAGATGATTACAGTATGACAACTCTGAGTGGAAGTTACAAAGCTCTGATAGATCAAGCGCAATATTGATACATGTTACTTATCCCATATTTAGAAGTGGGTCTGGGGTGACGTCTACTCATAGTATGCAGACACTGCGTCAAAAGAAAAGCAGACGGTGTTCAGAAGGAATATAATGTCATGTTTCAAATGAACATACTAGCTTAAACGGAACGGCAGGCAACAACTATCTTGATGCGTTTAATCTTTGGATTGTTTGATGCAGGCGAGCAGTTTCTTATCGAAAACGTGTAAAAAAGAGAGCTATTCTTGCGTTATAAAATATTGGCTTCATTCAAACAAAGCCCAATCATAATGTTTTGTATTGGTAAGCAATGGCATTTGTTAAGTAAAACATGTTGAAAAGGTAGGGGCGTAACCGTGGGCGCCATGTTCCCATAATGCATAGCGTGCACTTGCTATCTTAAACGTTCATCATACAAACACTTGTATTTCCTTCAAAACGTTGCAATGCTGTAGTTAGACGAAACAAACTTTACTTTCCCTTCTGATACAATGCGGTTGGTATTTTCTTCGAAATATTTATTGACACACCGTGACAGAGGGAGCCGTGGCGGGGAACAGCCTACGGTGCTCACTCCCTGGTTATTCAGTACACTCTTGTTTCTCTTCAGAGCGCATAAATCTTTCGCCTTTTACTAAAGATTTCCGTGGAGAGGAACAATAAGAGTTTCAACTAATTTTTTGATGCCCTGCGTATGTGGGGCTTCCTGAATTGTCAAAAAAAAAATCATAAACCGTAAGAGACAGTCTCTGTTTTACTTCCAGTGCGTGTGTCTCTACCATAGACTGTATATATAAAGGTCTCTACCCAGCCTGTGAACTGTCCAATGTTTACGCACTCTAACGTTTCTGATGCATAGCCTACAGTTAACGACAAACACGTGGATCAATAACGTAAAACTCAGAACACGTTTTTTGAGTGCCCATGTTTTATTTCAATGCTGGGTTATTCCCTACAACCCGGTATGTATTCTGAAACGTGTACACACACCGTGACAGAGGGAGCTGTGGCGGGGAATAGGCAGCCTTGCTCGCTCTCTGGTTCTTCAGTACACTCTTGTTTCTCTTCAGAGCGCATAAATCTTTCGCCTTTTACTAAAGATTTCCGTGGAGAGGAACACTAAGAGTTTCAAACAATTTTTTGTTGCTCTGCATATGTGGGGCTTCCTGATACTGTCAAATAATAACATTTGAAACTATACGTTTTCTTGTCGCACGCGGAAAGTCTTTGGATGTCATTCTCCCTGTGATGCGTTCAATGAGCTCTCACAAAAAACGTACTTGATGGACCAATGCCCCACCGAAGCAGACAAACTCCATTGTTGCCCTTTTTAAATGTGTGTACTACATTCGATTAAATTACATTTGTTTCAATACAACTCTAAAAGATTCACTAACATCTAGGTATGTATTTTGAAATGGTGAACACACCGCGACAGAGGGAGCTGTGGCGGGGAATAGGCAGCCTTGCTCACTCGCTGGTTCTTCAGTACACTCTTGTTTCTCTTCAGAGCGCATAAATCTTTCGCCTTTTACTAAAGATTTCCGTGGAGAGGAACAATAAGAGTTTCAACTAATTTTTTGATGCCCTGCGTATGTGGGGCTTCCTGATACTGTCAAATAAAAACGCTTGAAACGAAATTATTTCTCCTTCCACGTGGAAAGTGTTTCTAGTTCCTTCTCCCTGTGATGTGTTCGATGAGCTCTCACACAACACGTAATTTATGGAGCAATAGAAACACCCAGTTGCTACTCTTTTTACAATGTGTGTACTACATTAAATTACATTTAGTTTCAATACAACTCTAAATTATTCACTACCATCTAGGAGAGTATTTTGAAATGGTGAACACACCGTGACAGAGGGAGCCGTGGCGGGGAACAGGATACAGTGCTCACTCCCTGGTTATTCAGTACACTCTTGTTTCTCTTCAGAGCGCATAAATCTTTCGCCTTTTACTAAAGATTTCCGTGGAGAGGAACAATAAGAGTTTCAACTAATTTTTTGATGCCCTGCGTATGTGGGGCTTCCTGAATTGTCAAAAAAAATCATAAACCGTAAAGAGACAGTCTCTGTTCTACTTCCAGTGCGTGTGTCTCTACCATAGACTGTATATATAAAGGTCTCTACCCAGCCTGTAAACTGTCCAATGTTTACGCACTCTAACGTTTCTGATGCATAGCCTACAGTTAACGACACGTGGATCAATAACGTAAAACTCAGAACACCATGTTTTATTTCAATGCTGGGTTATTCCATGGTTATTCCCTACAACCCGGTATGTATTCTGAAACGTGTACACACACCGTGACAGAGGGAGCTGTGGCGGGGAATAAGGAACCTTGCTCGCTCTCTTTTCCTTCAGTACACTCTTGTTTCTCTTCAGAGCGCATAAATCTTTCGCCTTTTACTAAAGATTTCCGTGGAGAGGAACAATAAGAGTTTCAACTAATTTTTTGATGCCCTGCGTATGTGGGGCTTCCTGATACTGTGAACAATAAATGATAGGTTCTTACCGTCGTCAGTGGAATTCTAACCCCTGTGATATGTTCATAACATACCAGTTGCTTTGGAGCTACATGTTGGAAAAACAAAGCTCAGGGAGAAGAAAGACAAGCAGAAACCACATTTAATACCAACATATTGAAGAACATTTATTTATTTATTAGCTAAGATAATTCAATAAAAATCACCTTTAGTAATATCAAATTTGCCATTGTAGATTTGTTTTGGCTTTACAAGATAAGAATGTGAGGAACTTGCTCAAGAGCCCATAATAACTCAAACGGTCTTTTCTCCCGCGTGTTGTGATGGCTGAATTAAGTAGAGCTGCTCACAGCAACACCTCCAGACACAGTCATCATTGCTGTTAGAAGTGACAGCTGTGCTTTTCTTTTTTAAACCTCGAGATCACCTGCTGTGATTATCAGACAGTGACCAGTTTCCTGTTCAATCTTTCCAACATCCCTTTTTTTGTGAGAATGTGACATTTCGTTGAGTACCAGCTTCAAAGCTGTCTGTCAGGTGTTCGGCTTCATCTTGTCTCTCTCGGTGAGTTTGTTTGTTTTTATTGTTGGTGGGTTTTCATTCTGTGTTTCCAAAACTCTACACAGACTATTTTAACCATTTTGATGAACCTTTTTTGATTTGGTATTGTTTCTTATTTAAACACTTGTGAAAATATAGAAACTCTTCAGTGTTTCTTCACCTCTTTAACATGATGAACTCAGCTCTGTGATCTGCTGCTTTAAGATGATTTGAAGGCCTAGTTGGAGACTCTTAACTTACTGAATGACTGATTAATTGTACTAGTCAACCAAGTTATTTAGGCCTTAGCGATATTAACTGTTGCCACCATAGGCATAATGAATACCTGGGGACATGTCCACATCACTTTGCATTAGGATAACTCTTTTTAAAATGTTCTGAGAACAGCGTGCACAAAGAATTGTACACTTAGTTTATTTCCACCGAGAGCATGTACAACCTGGAGGACTGTTCACTTCCCTTTTGGGGTGTCTTTCTGTTAACCCAAGTGGTGCCGTTTGGACCTGTGACATGTTTAATATTAGTAATAGTTGAATAGAGAATAGTAAAGCAATTGTTGCTCCCGCTATGCAGCAGCGTAGCATTGTTACTGCACTAGTTGTCAAATGAAGTATTGTAAACGTATGTATTGTTGGCAGGCGGGGGGGGGCGGCTCTTAATGCAGAGGTGGTTTTTTACCTGAAAAAGTGTTCCCACCACTTTTTCTAACAAAGTGACACCAATGGCGACACACAGCTATATCTCCTACATTGTGTTGTGTCACTTTGTGCTTCAAGCATACTTTTAACATCGTGGTCTAATAACTTCAATATAGGAAGGCTCAGTTTGAATCCATCACAGCCGTTTTTTATGTACAAAAAAAACAAGAAAATAGGCATAGAAATAATATTTGATTGAATCATTTTCAGATAAGTAAATGCATCAGGAACTAGTTTTTATGGATGTCTTCAGCCTGCTCAAGAAACGGTGGTGAGATGTGTAAGATATAAGTCACTTCCTCATTCAGACTGATGAGACAGGATGATGACTCCATTAAACCAATAAACACACACAACATATCTGCATGAGATATAACAGAACTCTGACAATGTAACATGTCAAAACATTCAAAGGGCAATGGCATTTTGTATTACAACTTATTGTAACACCAGGCTCTGCTTTACTCGTCAGCTGTTTGTGAGCTCATAGGGAACTCTGATACTCACTGTGCAGGACACATGTTGCCAAGATGCAAGAAGTGTATTTCTCATGAACCCAGTGCTTTTTAAAGTAGATTAAATGTACCTAAATATTCAATCAAGTCCTCAGAAAGGCATAGAGCAGAAACACTAACTTGATTGAATTGATTAATTATTGAAGTATTTCTTAAATGAAACCATACTTATTTGTGTTTTTTAGTCGCTATATTATTAGACTGAACGTCTTTCGGGGTTTGAACGGTTGGTTGGACAGCACAAGCAATTTCAAAATGACCTTTTTCAAAAATGATGGGTCATTTTGTTACTATGTTTTGAAATTGTACTTACCAACATGAATTGAGTAATTCATTGTCAGATTATTCTACAATGACATGAATCGTTTTTTACAGCCCTACTCTAGAGCTGTTTTGCGTAGTTTTGTGACTGAACATCGCTCTCATTGCTCTTCATAGTCAACGTCTCTCTCCTGAACACTCACCCTGTCCTCAGTGTCCATGAGCAAGGCTTACTGTAGCAGTCTATTACAGAAACTGAAGGGCAGTACAGGTTGCAGTGGAAACAGGGAGCGTTGGGTGAGATCTGCGGGAGATCAACACTCTAGTTTTATCCTGCTGGGTCATGTGTCTCCACTTACAGCAGCACGTTCAGAACACTGGATGATTATCCTGCACAAAACGTCTCGTTCATCTGTTCCATTTTACAAGACAACAATCTCAACTCAACTTCCCGTTGTGTAAAACATACTGTGATGTAATCAGACCAACCACACCATGGAAGAACTGCATGTTGCAACCATTTGCTAACATCTGTATTTTCTAACATTTGACACTGAACACAGACTGACTTTAGTTCAACCCTGATAGGTCTGAACCGGACTGTCCGACACACTCTGTTGGGAAAGTCTGTGAGATCTCCCCCCTGGACGGAGAAGATAAAGAGACGCAGCTCTCTGAGAAGATCCAGGCGGTTCCGATCCACCGGCGCCCGGACCTGCTGAGGTCCTGCGCTGACCTGGTGAACTCCGAGTGGCAGAGGAGCCAGGCGGCCCGGGTCCACTCCCTCCAGAAGTCCTGCGCAGAGTTCCCCGTGTGCCTGGTTCTCCTGCGGGGCCACAGAGGGGCCGAGCGGCTGCTGGGCCACGCCCGGCTGTCCCGGGTAGTGGGTCGGAGCAGCAGCCTGTTCCTGGAGTCAGTGGTGGTGTCCAGGGCGGAGCGGGGGCGGGGCTACGGTCGCACTCTGATGGAGGAAACGGAGCGCTACGCCAACAGCAGAGGGTTCAAGCGCCTGTACCTGACCACCCACGATAAGCAGCACTTCTACGCCCACCTGGGGTACGTGCTGACTACGCCCGTGCAGAACGCAGGCGCCATGACTGCCTTTGTTCCCATGGAGACGCTCTTGAGGTTCTCCAGAATGCCGGGTCAAGAGACGAAGACACAAGAGCAAACACGGACAAAGATGGAGGCTCGTGTACCACACAGTGCTTGTGTTGTGGGGTCACCACCTCCTTCCATACCTCCTTGTCCTCCACCACCTCCTTTCATACCTCCTTGTCCTCCTCCACCTCCTTCCATACCTCCTTGTCCTCCACCACCTCCTTCCATACCTCCTTGTCCTCCTCCACCTCCTTCCATACCTCCTTGTCCTCCACCACCTCCTTTCATACCTCCTTGTCCTCCACCACCTCCTTTCATACCTCCTTGTCCTCCACCACCTCCTTTCATACCTCCTTGTCCTCCTCCACCTCCTTCCATACCTCCTTGTCCTCCACCACCTCCTTCCATACCTCCTTGTCCTCCACCACCTCCTTCCATACCTCCTTGTCCTCCACCACGTCCTTCCATACCTCCTTGTCCTCCACCACCTCCTTCCATACCTCCTCCACCTTGTCCACCACCACCTTCATCCATACCTCCCCCTCCACCTCCTCCCCCTCAGTCTGCAGGGCAGCTTGTAGTTCAGACTCTGACTGAAACTCCCTACAGAGACGCTAAAGGAGTTCCTATCTACTGGATGCTCAAAGACATTTGACGAACACGCTGCATTCACACGTGTTTGTGTATATGTGCACACATCAATAGAAACATATACAAATTCAAAAAGCTCACTCACTATTAATGGTCTCTCAGACACACAAAAAGTAATGGAAGAAGACAGGGTGTAGAGCAATTCAGAGAGAAATGAGTGCCTGCCTACCAACCCTCAGACTGTGAAATATGAAAATCTTCATCAAACCATTCAGATTTGAGTTGTCACTGGGTCTTTAGGATATCTGTTATGGCATCACACTAGTTTACCGGCCAGTCAGTGTCCAAACGGCGACCTTACAGAGACTTGAGGTCACATAAAGTGAGAGTTAATTCTTTGGGAAGTAGGAGACATCTGGTTTCCAGCAATTACACTTTTAAGATTTCCATACTGTATGAACATTCTGGATGCGTTAATGAGTTTAAATATCTACTGAATGTAACTGTTTTCTCTTGAGGGAATCTTTTGGAAGATATGGATTGTGACAAAGGTCGAGTGAACGCTTAGTAAAACATATTTTAGAACATATTTTGGTTTATCCCAACCAACCACTCACTGTTTTTGATGTTTTCATGTGGAACTGTAATCTTGAACATGAGGATTATTGTGCCTTGTTGAACTGCCAGAGAACTGAAACGTTCTTAAAATCACTTTTTCATGTTGATGAGTGTAATTCATCACAATTCTGGTAATAAAGAGGATTTATAAACGTATACATTTGTCTTTCTTCGCCTATATTATTACATCTAATGTTTATTATTAATCAAATATAATCTTACAAGGAGTTAGAATTAGCAAAACAAAAAATAAACTATTATGGGCTGCCCAATATCAACAGTATGTGTGTATGACTTCTTGATCCCAGGGCAGAGCCGTTCCTCATATGAAACCTCTCTCCTGTCAGGAGGACCCGTCAGTGGGTGAGCAGCCATGGTGCTGCTTCACCTCCCTCTCCCCTTCCTCCTCCTCTTCCTCTTCCTCTTCCTCTTCTCTCTCACCCCTCTGTCCCCGGCCTCCCCCCATGGAGACCCCCACACCCCCCTGCCTGGTGCAGCAGCAGCTTCGATCCTGCAGCAGCGGCCCTTCGTTGTGGTGTGGAACCTGCCCACAGCTCAGTGTCACTCACGCTTCAACATCCACCTGGACCTGAGCGCCTTCGACATCGTGGAGAACCGAGAGCAGCGCTTCCTGGGACAGGTGACCCCAGAGGGTGAAGTAGAGTGACCCCACTTTACTGACTCCAGTCCGTGATTCAATTTGAAGTGTTTAGTATTTCCATGTGTCTGCCATTGCTATAAATAAGGTTAATGGGAACAGTCTGATCTGCTGTTACATTCTGGTTGTAATTATTACAATAACTGCTTTTGCAGTCATTGTACTTTTGAAAATGACTATTGCAATATATTTTTCACCCATTGGTTCGATCTTTAAATGAACTAAATATTACAAATTGGTTGCATGTGATATACAAATATGTTTTTAAATGAGCAAACACACATTTCAATTCTTGCCAGACGGCAGCAGGGTGTTCCTGGCTGGGTATTATCCCTCAGTACCATTTGGCCTCTAAAAGATATAGCCTTTGCTTTGAGCCGTTCACTTGCCTCTTTCAGCTCCACTATGGCTGAATGCTAAAGGGAAATGATCTGGATGGCTAGGATGTTGTATTTTTGCAGTTAAACCAATTTATCAGGGCAGTTAATGCTGAATAAATGTGCCCGCTGCTGTAAACAAAGGGTTGGTGAGGATGCTAAGGCTAAGTAGCTAAATGTGACATAAAACCAAAACAATAGTTTCAAATGTTTACTTTTCTAGAAAATGACTATCTTCTACCGCGACCGCCTGGGGAAATACCCCTACCTCTCCCGAGGCGGGGGGAAGGTAAACGGAGGGATCCCTCAGCTCAGCGACCTCTCGGCTCACCTCTCCCTGGCGCTGTCGCAGATGTCCTCCTCTCTGCAGCCAAACTTCAACGGGTTAGCTGTTATCGACTGGGAAGACTGGCGGCCATTGTGGGAGAGAAACTTTGGAACCAAGATGGAGTATCGGAGGCAGTCTAAGCTGCTGGTGAGACAGGAGAAACCAGATTTGTCAGAAAGGGAAACAACATTGTTGGCAACGAAGACGTTTGAGGAGAGCGCTCGGAGGTTCATGGGGGAGACGCTTCGAATGGGGGTCACACATCGCCCTGAGGGACTCTGGGGGTTTTATGGTTTCCCTGCCTGCTTTAATAATCACAAGCAAAAGACAGGTTTGAGAAACACTGTAATACATTGTTGCAGTTCATGATGGTGATGATAAAGACTGAGCCTGTATGTTTTACTTGGGTTTAGATCAAAGCTACACAGGACGCTGCCATGCAGGAACCGAAGAGCAGAACGACCGTCTGTCCTGGCTCTGGAGTCAGTCCTCCGCTCTGTATCCCAGCATCTACCTGCCTCCATGGCTGGAAGGGTCCACGGACGCAGCTCTGATGGTCAGGTACAGAGCGGAGAGACATGAGGAAGTGTTCACACCGCTTCAGCCATAACAACCTATGAACAACTGTTATTCACATGCAATCATACAAAAAGCTTTGTACACAGGATGTTCAAGGACAGTTCACCACAAAATCAAAAATCCATATGTTTCCTCTTACCTGTTGTGCTATTTGGATATATATATATAATCGACTGCTTTCTGTTTAATATAATGGAACTAGATGGCACTCGGCTTGTGGTGCTCAAGGCGGAAAAAAAGACTTTAGAAGAATCTAAACACCCATGTCTTTTTCCAGAAACCATAACCTGGTTTCCTATGGAACTATTATTCACCAAATCACCTCGCAGAAGGAAGCTTGCATCTACTTGCATTCACTTATTGATTTATGCGGTTTGGTAGAGAGAAAATAGTTCTTACATACTAACCTGGTCATGACACATTGCTCTTTAGTTTTTCAATGCTATTGTTTCCACTTTGAGCACAACGAGTGCCGTCTAGTTCCATTGTGATGGAGAGGAGGGAACGTCTCTATTCAACTCACACCAAACCCAATCTAGTTGTATCTATATGGTAAGATGAGAAATATATATGGTCTTTGGGTGAACCCTTTAAAGGAGTAACTGAAGGACGTTCCTCTGCTCTCAGACACAGACTGCTGGAGGCTTTGAGGGTGGCGTCAGTTTGGCGCCATGGCAACGATACTAACCAAGCCACACCGGTCCTTCCCTACGCCAGGCTGGCATTCACACACACTCTCACTTTTCTTAATAAGGTGGGATTACTTGCAACTCATCAAATCACACACTCTCATGCAAACACAAACCAACTGTGTGTGTGTGTGTGTGTGTGTGTGTGTGTGTGTGTGTGTGTGTGTGTGTGTGTGTGTGTGTGTGTGTGTGTGTGTGTGTGTGTGTGTGTGTGTGTGTGTGTGTGTGTGTGTGTGTGTGTGTGTGTGTGTGTGTGTGTGTGTGTGTGTGTGTGTGTGTGTGTGTGTGTGTGTGTGTGTGTGTGTGTGTGTGTGTGTGTGTGTGTGTGTGTGTGTGTGTGTGTGTGTGTGTGCAGATGGACCTGGTGCACACGCTGGGGGAGAGTGCGGCGCTGGGTGCTGCTGGAGTGGTGCTGTGGGGGGAGCTGAAGTTTGCCCAATCTAAGGTATGTAATGTTTGGCAGAAATGTGTGTATTTGCATGTGTGTGTGTGTAACCCCTCCCCTTTCTCCAGAATCAGTGCATCCTTCTCAGGGACTACGTGCACACTGTCTTGGGTCCCTTCGTCCAATCCTTGAGGTCGGACACTAAGCGGTGCGGCCTTCAACTTTGCCATGGCAACGGACGCTGTGCCAGGCGACGCCCCGGCTCTGGTTACATGATCTCCTCAGGTCTAGCTTTGACCTTTAACCCCAATGAAATCCATTTCCTCTCTGACTCCTCCCATGGCAGAGCATTTCATAACCACTTCCTGTGTCAGTGCTACCCGGGCTGGACCGGGCAGGAGTGTCAAGAGAAGAAGAACGAAAACAGAGAGAATAGAAGTAACAGAAATGTTTCTATCAAACAGACATCAGTCATTTAAAATGAAATAAGTGAATTGTGTTTATTTCACACAAAAAATCCCGAAGTATGCATGAACAACGGATTTGAATTAGATTTCCCTCCAAGTGCAAATCATTTTTGAGTTTAACTTGATGACACTTCATTACATTTTTCAGGATTTGTCACTTTTTTCCTCTTAACTTTTTGTTACTGGAAGCACCTTCCAAGTCAAGCTTTTAACCTACACTGCAGTGTTGTTGCAGCAGGAAACCTAACACAGTAATGGCTGCCCTGAGAAATATGTTATAAGGGGTGGTTGAGGTCATTGACCTTTAATAAATGTTACATTGTTTTAATTAAAAAAAGCAAACTAGTATTGTTTTTTTGTTGCATTTAATGATTTGTGTTTCACATCTAAGTCAGTCTTTGTATTTAACATGTTTAATGAGGCACAATGTCTGAATGACAGCACAAACAGAAGACACTGTTATATTAAGATAGTGTGTCTTTTATACATTACACAATGGCAACACTCATTCAACATTAATCCATTCACTCATTCTATAACCAAGTTATACTGCTTTAATGATGCACAATGACAGAATAAAAGAGATAATTGGAAAGTTACATTTACCAGGGCATCCAGAAACCTCCTATTCCTCAATTACATCAGTAACATGTAATCCTAAACACAGACAACACTTAGGGAAAATCAACTAAAACCCAGTTGTACTGCATGTTCAAGCGTCTCATGTCCAGTGGGTGTATCCAGGTTTAGTGTTCTGTGCATATCATGTCCCTCCTCCTAAAGCTGTCAGGTTGTGTCTCAGCGCATGCAGCTGTTGGATCAGCAGAGACAGCTCTGTGGCTGCAGCCTCTTTCTCCCTCACAGCCTCAGTCAGCATCTGGATGGCTCCACCCTGCTGGACTGGAAGCAGACGAGAAACAAAGGCCACTGTTAGTTTGGCTTAAAGGTCCCCTACTCTTTTTCATCAATATGTTATAGTTCTCAGATATATACAAAACATGTCTCTGAAGTGTTTGGCTCCAAATACTAAACAGATCGTGCATTGTAGCATCCCATAATCCCCTCTGTTTCAGCCCTGTTTCAAAAGTGCTGATTCTCTGTCTGTTACTGTAGATAAAATAAGGAGCCACTCTGAGAGATATTTGGTTAAAAAGAACACAATGGTGCTCTAGGAGGAGATTCAGGTGATAAGGTGGGGGGGGGGGTTACCTTGGTTAGTGATTGGCTAATGGTTCTGATCAAACCACCCCCTGGTGGAGGACAGGGGGTGCTGCAGCACCCTCAGCACCCCTACCACCGGTACCGGCGGGGATTGTTGTTAGCTTCTGCTGCGCTAACGGATATAAGAAGCTGTTTCTACAATAATGTGGAGGGAGAGTTCTGTCCTGTCAGACTGAGAGGCTCAGTGAGGTAAAGGGTGTTTATAGTTGTACCCCCTAGATCAGTCTCTAGTATTTGGGCGCTCAAAGTGCACCAGATTGAAGCATTTTACTTTAAAATGTTAAAACAAATCTTCCCGAGGGGGCATACCCCCGGACCCCCCTAGAGGATGTGACGTCCACCCCCCAATTAAAACATGTTCATACAATACTAAATAAATGTGAAGCCTTTTTATATAAGCTGTCCACCATGTCAATACGTTTCTCTTTTTGTAATGTATTGGTCTTTTGTAGAGGTTTTTCATTGTCAGCAAAAATCTTGCCTAGGGCAGCAAATTGGTCAGAACCGGCCCTGGTGTCATCCCCACAGCACCCCCCCCATTTGAAACATGTTCCCACGGCTATGGGTTTTTATATAAATGGATCAGGACAAAAAGTGAGAGAATCTTTTTTCCTGAAACGTTCAGAATGCCTTTACACAGAGGGGACACATGTTAATGTATAAAAGACAGGAAAAAGTGGATTTTACATAATAGGTGACCTTTAACTGAGGTACATTTACAGACATGTTCAAATAAATAGCATAGCTTACGTTTCAAATGTAAGTGTGAAATTGGAAAACAAATGAAAACTGCACAGACCTAACAGAACAAAGTAAAAATGTAAAATATCCACAAATTATTAGGAGAAAGTTATAAAAACAAATAAAAATTATTATACCCAAAAAGTAGAAGATGAGTAGCACGGTGAGCAGCAGCAGCGTGATGATAGCACAGCCCATGGCGTAGGCCCGCGATGAACTGGGGGTCAACATATCCTGCAGACGACGCTGCCATTTGCTGCTGTTTGGACGGCCTCTTTGATTGACAGCTGTCATGTCACATGTGTAGAGATTCCCATTGGAGGAGGGGGAGTTTGCAGGACGAGGAGGTCTCACCCCTGAAATCATGAGACACAGCGAGTCAAAGTGTGTGTGTTTCTTTTCGGCTGTGTTCAAAGTGTTTGTTTACCTATGTGCCTGTGTTGTAAGTGTGTGTGTGTGTGTGTGTGTGTGTGTGTGTGTGTGTGGTGTGTGTGTGTGTGTGTGTGTGTGTGTGTGTGTGTGTGTGTGTGTGTGTGTGTGTGTGTGTGTGTGTGGCCTAGCATTACTATACTTGTGGGGACCTAAATCTGTTTACACAGTCACGTGTGGGGACTCGCCTCCCTTATGGGGACAAAATGGAGGTCCCCATGAGGGGAATCATTAATTTTAGGGTGAAGACTTGGTTAGATTTAGGGTTAGGGTAAGGTTAAGGGTAAGGGTTAGGGTTAGGCATGTGTTGGTTATGGTTAAGGTTAGGATAAGTCTCCAGGAAATGTATGTAAGTCAATGTAATGTCCCCTGAAGTGATGTATACATGGTATGTGTGATTGTGTGTGTGTGTGTACCTTTTTTTGTCTGTGTGTTTATGTGTGTGTGCCTTTTTGGCTGTATTTGAAGTGTGTGTACCTTTTATTATTGTGTGTGTGCACCTTTTGGGCTGTTTTCAAAGTGTGTGTGTGTGTGTGTGTGTGTACCTTTTGGGCTGTTTTCAAAGTGTGTGTGTGTGTGTACCTTTGTTGCTGTTCTCATGGTGTGTTCGGTGGAGATCGTTGATGGAGTCCACCGAATGAAGCTCGATCTCGGTGAGATCTCTTTCGCTGACCCTGTAGAACTGAGGGGTGGTCTGGGAGGATGGGGGCCTCGACATCTCACCTCTTCAGGGATGGACAGATGGCGCTTCACTCGTCACAACTTCTTTCCACCGAATATCTGCTATGTAAGCTATGTAATATTCTTAAAGGCGTGCTTTGCAGCTCCCCACAGTATTGTCTTTCAAAGCCATAAGAGACAACTTCTTAAAAAAAGAAAAAAACATCCAATAAGATGGTGTGTGAGGGAAGCTCTGAAGACACTGCCTCGGATACTGCAGGTGCCCTAGTCTACTCTTGACTGACCAAAACATGGAATGGATTAAATGTTTGGATCTGGTTTCATTTAATGTAAATATACAATATTATGTCGGTAAATACAAAAAATGAGGATATGACGGGTTGGTTCTAAAATTTGAAGAGAAAGGAGGGAAAAAAGTCAATATATTCTAAGGATACAATGAAAAGAGAATTCTGTTGTATCTGTGTGTAAGACAAATCAATGGTTTGAAAAGTTATTTATAGAGCTGATTGTCAAAACCATAAACAAAATTGCTGGAATTTGAGTCCAGGACCAAATGACATGACAGAGTCTAATCTAATGAGTAATGACTAACTCAATGAATGAATGGATGATTAACTAACTAACTCATTACCTGACTGTACTACAGACACTGTGTAGCAAACCATAAAACAAGAGAACTGTTCTTCTGTCCCCACTTACCGTCTATTACAACAGGAGCAGTGTTGGGTTTTATATGCGTCTGCTTGTTTGTTCTTGTCAGTCTGCCGCTGTTCTCTTTCACACGGTCTCCTCACACTCTGACACCCGATTACCAAAACATGTGTCTGCACCCCCCCACAGGAGCAGAAACATTAAATATCCAAGGTTATCCAGGAGCCACACAGCAGTGAAGTAATCCAACCGAACTCAAATTATATCCCAACATTCATTTCCAGTCAAATCCTCGATGTTGGAAAGCAACAGGGAAACTCCGGCTCTTGCCTTCTTGTAAATATGTGTGTGTGTGTCACTGAGCAACTGCCGACTACCCCCCCCCCACCTCCTACTAAATTTGTTTGTCTGTATGTTCTGATTTAGCCCACCATAGCTGTCCTGCGCCAACCCCCTCCCAAATAAATGCTCATGTACAAACCCAACCCTGCAGCCCCTCAAGGCCCAAAATAGCAGCAGAGCTTGGGGTTATTAATAGTTCCTCAGGCCAAAGGATGACTCAATGATCTAGGTGGAGGGCATGATGGGGTCCATTGGGATAAACACACACACAAATACTTACATGGACAAATGTCATTGAGAATAAGCAAATTAGCAATTCTGTATTGCTACTATTTACAATGTGTCTGTCATTCCCTCTGTCTGTCCTTTGGACTTCCATATGTTGCGACCTATTAGTCTAATGATTTGGTGCTGAATTGGCGTATGTGATTCGGACTAGCTTTGGACCACATATGCAAACCTGGTCCATTTTTGTTCACCAAGTTTGTCCTTGTATTATTTATCTTTTTTTCCTAATATTGTACATCTGTTTTACTCGAACTATTAGGCCCACAATAAACACTTCAATGTGAAGTGGAGATCGTGTAAGTGTTTACAAACCTTACAAAATAAATAAAATCCAACCATATACTGCTACTGGATATGCAACTTAAGAATAAGGCGAAGTAGAAGTTCCTAAAACTGAAATGAAAGATACGTTTAGGAAGCTACCTGAAGACACACTTGGGAGAAGTACTCAGATATTGTACTTTAGAAAAAATAGAAGTACCAGAGTGTAGGAATACACTGTTACATTTAAAGCCATGCAATCAAAACTGTTATTCAAGGAAAAGTACAAAAATATACTTAAAGTACCGAAAGTAAAAGTATACTCATTATGCAGATTGGTCCATTTCAGAATAATATATGATTAGGCTATGTTTTGATTTTAATTATTGATGCGTTAAGTGTTATCAAAGCTGGTAAAGGTGAAGCTAGTTTTAATGACTGATGATGTGAATGTTACTCCTAAAGTCTTATTTAAGTATTAATTATATCATGATTGATTGATTATATCACACATTATTAAACAAAATATACAAAGTAACTAAAGGTATTAAATACATGTAGTGGAGTAAAAGTACAAGATTTACCTCTGAATTGTAGTGGGGTAAAAGTAGGCTACAAATCGCTCAAAATTGTACTTAAGTAGGCTGAAGTTATATCATTATAGACCAAGGTCTTGGCTGTTCAGCAATGTACCGGTGCAACCTCCTCATTTTGTATTTTTTTCATAAAATAGGTTTTTCCAGTCATTACTTTGTTTTTGTAAACACCGTCAGACACAATAAAAAGTTATTTATCTTTTATTTGTATTTAGTCTAATATGTATTTAGAGCTTTTAAATCATTATCTGGCATTCTAAGTACACATATATGCTGTAAAATGTTGAATATTCACTTTTGCTCATTTTTTATACTGTTTCACATGTGCTCCTTTAAAAGATCTTACATCATACAATGTTTACTTTTAGCTTAAAAAAGTAATGTTTTTTTACTTAAAAAACACATTTTTGTATTAAAAGAGACTATTACTTTAATAACTCAACAGCACTGAAGAAACAGATTACAAGCATATTCATTTAAAACAAATAAAACTCCCTCTGACGGTGGTGACTTTGGAACTGACGGTGGTGACACTAATCTGACGGTGGTGACACTGGCCTCATTACAACATACAATTCCAAAATGTATACCACTCAAGTCAATGCCTTGCTTAACAACTTTATTTAACAATTTGGTACAACAAATAACAATTGTGAGAACTGTGATAAACATTTAATTAAGGAACTTAAGGTACAATTAAGCAATATCATTAATAAAAGTAACCCACCCCCATATCATCAAATATCAAATCATCATAGTTAAAAAATAAAGTGATTACCAGTTGCAATAATGTACAATTCATTACTGATATCATCTTAAACTGTCATCTAGTGCCCCCTACTCATAAAATAATACATTATATTGTTCTTTAAACTGTATATTGGACGTGAAGAACAGATAACAAATAACAATTGTGAACACTGTGGCAAACATTCAATAAGAAACATATAGGTTCAATGAAGCAATAAGCTATCATTAATAAAAGTACCCCATCCCCATTAATAATCATCATAGTAAAAGATACCAGTAGCAATAAGATAAGAATTCATCACTCACTGTGAACTGAGTGCCCCCCACTCAAAACATAATATACATTATATTCTTCTGTATATTGGACGTGAAGAACAGATAAATGAATAACTACATCTTAAAGTCTCTTTTCCATAAACTGAAATGTTTCTAAATACAGAAAGCATTCTGTGTAAACATCACAAAACACATCTGGCACAAAAATAATAATAATTCATAAGTGAACTCCTGTGAGTATTCCCTGACTGTTTCTACATCACTCCACCACTCATTCAGCTTTATCAGGACGTAGGCCTATATGGTGTATATGTTTCTCCTCTATGAAGTCCATGACTGCAGCATAGTATTAATTTCGTCAGCTATTTTTTAATTTTGTTTTAGTCTTAGTCCTCTGTTAAATTTTCTTTTTAGTTTTAGTCATATTTAGTCACCTTCATCCTGTTTTAATTTAGTCAAGCTTTAGTCGACTAAAAGTCTGAGCATTTTAGTCTTATTTTAGTCAAAGAAAACTAATTATTTTAGTCTACTTTTTGTCAATGAAAACTGTTGAGTCTTTTTTAGTCATCAGATTATATAGAACATTTCAGTCAAACTAGTCTAGCCAAAACCAATAATTTGTCATTTTAGTATATATAAATAAATACGATTATATCTTGTCCTTATTTGATGAAAAACACAGGTTGAATGATTAAGAATGCAGCTTCGCAGAGTGTATCTGGTTTGTGGTGTTTTTACCAGCTATGGCCACATTGCTTCCCTTCTGATGAAACAATGCATTCGCTTTTTTTCTCCGCCTCATTGTAGCGAAAATGGGCCCAAATATCACATTGTTTCTTTCTCCCAAGCAGTGGTGGCTTTAGACTTGTTCGTTGTCAGTCATTTTGACGGACAGGATCGTAACATTTCCGTCATAATCCATTATTATCCGTCGAGTGCACAATTTATCAATCACTCGCGCTGACGGGGGGGTATTCGGTTAACGCAAGTGCGACCACTGATCCCAAGCCCTGTTGTTGCCATTTCATTTTCTGTTGAATAAGGTTAGTTAGACCGTGAGTTAGACCCGAGTCTTCCTGACAGTTCACAGTGTGCCGCTGCAATTCAAATCTACCGCCGCGCTCAGCACAGACACACAGCTGCTGCCCAGCCGCAGCACAGACACACAGCTGCTGCCCAGCCGCAGCACCGGAAATGGAACTGCTGGGAGAAAAACTGCCTATCAGAGATGTAACGTTATCTTTGATAATATTTCGTCTCCTCATTTTTCGTCAACGAAAGTAAAGAGAGATTTTGGCATAGTTTTTATTTAGTAAACTACATTTTCGTCTCGTCACTTTTCGTCAACGATATTGCATGATGATTTTGTTGCAGTTATTATTTACTGCCGTCGGTGCCGTCTCGTCATCGTCTCGTTTTCGTCATGGAAAAAAAGGTCGTTGACGAAGATATTTCGTCATAGTTTTAGTCAACAAAATTAACACTACTTCAGCAGACAGGATGTATATCTCCCTCGTCCTGCTTGCACGACCTGGTGATGACGGTTCCACAAGTTTGACCAGAATATGGTCAAATGGTATGAAGCACATATCCTTTCCACCTTCCACCTCTTTTGGATAGAATCGTGTGTTGGGCCCATGAGAGTGGAAAAACTCCACTTTCACATCTTGATGAGGTGCATCCATCCACAGTGACAGCCTTTGCTAACCACCAGTTCTGGTCATAAATGACCGCCAGCCAATCTCCGCAATGAACTACATCAGCAGATAGATCTGTCATAGTCCCGTCAGGACCACTCTTAGTCATTGGCTGTTGCTCAAATTCAAGTGTGGAAATATATTGTTTTAACATATATTTGGTTAAATGTTGTCATGCCATTTTCATTTGGCTTTAGTCATTGGAGATGCATAGCCTACAAGGGATATTGTAGGTGTACTATGTGCTATGTAGGTAGGTAGTAGGTGCACTATGTGCATCCCCCATGACGTAAGCCAAATGAACATGGCATAATAGTGAATTTAGAAAGAGAGAAGGCACACCTCATCCCCTAGGATTGAGCGATAGGCCGATGGCATATATATATGGTTCATCAATGGTGGTAGTAGCATGCAGTGTATTGTTATTGTGGTAAATAAATATACTTTAGCCTCCCTTGAGTAACATTTTGAGGTTTTTGTCACCACCGTCAGACAGTATGTCACCACCGTCAGACAGACAATCTGACGGTGGTGATGTCTGACGGTGGTGACAAAAACCTAATCTTTTACATGATATGCATGAGTTGTTCACATTAGCCATCTTGTTTCCCCTCTGTTGCTAGCTACCTCAGACCTCGTCTTAAAAAGTATACATTTATGTCATAATCTAATCTAATATGTTCTATACAAAAGAGACGGTGTTGACATGTTATGGTTGTGACAGAAGCAGTCAGATAAAAAATGTACAAGTTTTAGAGAAAATAGCAAATGTACAGGAGCTTGAGTGATCTTGAAGCATGCAGTAAAGCTGAAGGTTTGAAAAGGGGGTCCTAAGGAATGTAGCTGACCTTGTAGTTGCCTGATTTTATTGCTTTTTATAAATATCTGACGGTGGTGACGAATATGTGGGACGCATTTTGAGCAACCACAAAATTATGGTAAATATTGTTCAAAATTCACTGTTTGTAGTTTTTAAAACATATTACAATGTACTCTTTCATTTGGTAAGAATATTATTCTATTAAATTATTACTTTTTGTTTTTTTAATCAAGTTGAAATGATTATCTCCTATCCGAGGACAACTGATTTTGTAGGCAATGGGCCAGCATATAATCATTAAATTAATAAAAAATAAAACTAAAACTATGAAAGAACCATACATTTGTGCAGAAGACCCTCTGATTATAACCTTGATTCTTTTTATTCATGAAAATGTTATTCATTTCCAACAGAATTAGCACTTTTCTTAGTGGGACATGTTTTTGGCAAAGTTTCAAGAATCAGTGCTTTGTATTGATCTGTTGAAGAGCGAGACATTACCAGTGTGAACTGTTGCAGGGCAAACTACATTTCCCACAAGGCTTTGCTCCTTCCTCCATATACGTTCGATTCATGTGTTTTTGCCAGAAGTGCAGGAATTCCAGAGTGAGTGCTGCTCAGAGTTTAGTAACAGCGGAACTGTTCCCCTATCATCCAGCAGCGTGTTTGTGAGAGACTTCCGCGGGGACTCGGGTGCATGATGTGGGCTCGGTTGCTGGTTGGGGTGGGGGGCTCGGGGCTCTGGCTGCGGGCTTCCAGGGACCTCCGGGGTCTGCTGCGGGTCGGGGGAGCTGCATGTGTGGGGAGGAGGCAGGCTTCAAGCGGAGAAGAGTGCCCAGTGAAGGGTCACTGCACGGTATCGTTACAACTTATCCGGAGTGCATTATGCGTTGTTTTTTAACTGATTTCTGGGTGGACATTGATGTTTTGTGTCATATTATCAGTACAACATTCCTATTATGGGTACAACTGAATATTGTACATATCTGTGGCCCTTTTTGTTGTTTTTTAATAAGATATCACTGTTATACTCGTATAGCTTTATTTGTGTAAGAGTTGTAGTCATGATAGCCTATGTGTTGATTGTCCTCAGTTAAGTATTTACCTGGATCATATTTGAGATTTAGTTTTTCAGATACATTGTGCAATCGATTTTGGAGCTGTGTTGTCTCTGGCATTTGCTCATATAAAACTCAGAATAAATCACTGTCTCCTTCAGTGTTACTGCATAGTACAATAACTACATGAGAGTGTGTCACAGCAGCAGTCAGGTCATGCAGACATAATGTACATCTGTCCCAGCAGACTGCCATCCTGCCTGCTTCACTTCACTGAGCTGCACAACGTGATTTTATTACAACCACGAGTGACTGATTCTACTGTCAGTATGTCTCTGTTACTCAATGAGGAGCTGGGAAATGAGACAGATTCACACATGCATTCATTCAGCAACGTCTTCACTCATTTGAACTTGCACTCACTGAGGAAGTTAGGAATGATCAGTGGCATGAGGCAACATGTTTTTATTTATTTATACTTCTAATATAAGGTTCTTATTTGTGTAGTGTAGTGTATCCCTTTTCTTTACTGTCATATACACATGATATGTATACTAGGATTTATCTTAGAGTTCTGCACAAAGCAAAGAGGGTAAAAAGAGTAAAGTCCTTACCATGACTAGTAGTTTATTATGTGTGTAACTTACAACCAACACAACCACCTTTCTTATGTTCATCAAATGAATGAATGACTTTGGACTCGAACAGCTTCGTAAATAACAATTGAGTGTTACGTAAAGTGCCGACACACTCTGCCCCATAATGCATTTCTGCTGCTGTGCTGATAAGCCCCCTAAACTGGTGGGTTCAAAGGTCATAAGTAAAGAAAAGACCATAGTGTAGAAAGGATTCACCTGTCTTTTTTCAAATGTATTTATTAGAAACAGTCTCCTGAATTCTACAAACATAACTGGGATAACATTTAAACAATGTAGATATTTTTTAAATCCTTATTGTTGCTCCGTTTAAGATGCTCAACCATTTATTATTATTATATCAAAATTCACTTTGTGTGTTACCTGTGTTTCTATTTATTTGTACACTCAGTAAAGAGTTTATCTCCCGCAGGAAGCCTTGAAGAAGACCCCGCTGTTTGACTTCCACAGGGAGCAGGGGGGGAAGATGGTGGGGTTTGCAGGCTGGAGTATGCCTGTTCAGTACAAAGACAGTCACATTGCCTCTCACATGCACACCAGAGAGCACTGCTCCATCTTCGACGTCAGCCACATGCTGCAGGTGGGACGAGTACACAAGGGCACACACAAATACCCACACTACACAAAGTGAACACAGGTTAATAAATACAAGCTCACATCATCAAAATCAAGATATGGAGTTTGTCTATTAGATTTGATCCACGAATGTACCCAAAGAAACATTGTCATTGATGCATTCAACTATATCCTTTTGCTTTTTCTCTCTCAGACCAAAGTCCACGGCAAAGACAGGGTGAAGTTCATGGAGTCTCTAGTCGTTGGAGATATTGCAGAGCTCAAGGACAACCAGGTGAGATGGAGGATTGGTTCATTTTGTCTGACCCTTTTTGACCACATAGACATGTTTTTAACTGTTTAAGTTGATATGGGGAACTTGATTGCGAACAGTGGGGTATTCAAACATTCATTTTGACTGTGTAATACCTTTGAGTTCACTATTCACTCTCATTTTAGCTCTAAACAACAGCAAATATCTTGCTCCTTAGCTGCTAAATGCTCCATTATGTTTTCCAATCATTATTACCTGCGTCTGTTTGGTAGTGTAAAGTGGCTCCCTCAAAACAAAGCAGTAAAGCTGCCTGCATGTAGACTAAAACTATGAGCTGAAAAACTCTAAAATACTCTTTGGAGCTGAGGGCAACTTCTGAGTCTGGTGATTGTAGCTTTTCCCAATGAAAAGAGAGTACATGTATTAAGTAAACAAATATTTGATAACACTTACAAGGTCATTTTATGGTAAGGACAGTTCAGGATATGCTTAATGTCGCAGGACGATTAGAAAACTACACTTTTCTTAACTCAATTTTCAGACAGATCTTTGTGTAATTTTCCACCATTTTGTGCATTTAAAGCAATTCACACAGAAATCACTATGAGTTACAGAGAAAGAAAGTACAGGCAACCTAATATATAAAAACAATCAGGCCAGCAAAAGCAGACACATACAACACAATAAGCTACTGCAGATACAGTAAGATCTTTAAAAAAAGAAATAACAGACAGTATTATTGAACATAAAAAGAGACATAGGATGATTGGATAATCTGACACACATTTATTGCAAACAGAGCATAAGTAAGTAATGTGTTCACCCACTCATCTTTTTCTCTCCCCCTCCCTCACCCCCAGGGCACACTGTCCCTCTTCACCACGGAGAAAGGAGGGATTATTGATGACCTCATCGTGACGAGGACAGACCAGGGCTACCTGTACGTCGTGTCCAACGCGGGCTGCGCCGACAAGGACTCGGCTCGTATGAAGGTAAAAGCAGACCGAGGTGTGTGTACTGTAGACAGACAGGTTGGGATTGTAGTACACTGATGTGTGTGTGTGTGTGTCTGTTTATTTCCTTTAGGCCAGACTGGCAGAGTTCAAAGCTGCAGGTCTTGATGTGGATATGGAGTTCCTCGATGAAGCACTGATTGCTGTGCAAGGTAAAAAATGCTTCCTTACTTTATTCCTTTCCTTTACCACTCATTCTGTTGATCTCTCCCTCTATCCTGATAATGAATCATTTTCTATCATTTTTGAGCTCCTCTGTGTCTGGCTCCCCAGGTTGCAGTAAATAGTTTATTAGTTGCGTTGTGTGTTGTCAGGTCCATCCATGGCTCAGGTACTCCAGCAGGGCCTGAAAGAGGACCTCAGTAAGCTGACCTTCATGAACTCCACATTGGCCACTGTGTTCGGTATCCCCGGCTGTAGGGTCACCCGCTGTGGATACACCGGAGAGGACGGGGTGGAGGTGAGCATCGCTCTTTTTTTTCTGACAGTGACATTGAGCAAATAATACATTAATGAAGCTATACTTTCACACATTTGTAGATGTTCCCTCTGAATGTGTCCATCAGATTTCTCTGTAAGACATATCTCTCAGAAACACAATATTGAACCTGATGGTGGCAGCAGAGGAGAAATCAAGGGAAAACCAGTAGGATCTTAAAGACAGGATTAGGATGTGTGCAAAATTAGAGCACATTATTTAAGACTTTCAATACAATATTATGATGGCCAAAAGAGTTCACAATAGCAAATGATATCGATAGAAATTGTAAATAATCTTAATAATAATTGATCAGTCAAATTCATTTGTGTGTTTTGTCATTTTTCTGCAAATTAATGGCACTCAAAATACAAATGTGAGGAGTTGGAGATTTTTTAACCCTAACAGAGAAAGTAAGAAACAGAAGGAAACTTTCATGAGACGCTTAATTATTCACGCGATATAATTATGTGTGCATTATTAGCATGTCTTATTTCATTTCATAAACATCACAGATATTAGTCAATTATGGTAAATCGTGATACACCTAATACAAATATAAGAATCATTGGTGAATATACAAATTCAATACTAAGATCATTTGAAAATATATACAAATATAACAATCACAACATTTTCCATTAGAACCGTATACAAAATTACAGGGAGGGAAATTCATATATAAGAAATTTTTTTTTTTTTATAAGAATATTTCTGTTTGACTGAACTAATGGACTTGGATACAAGACATTAGCATCCACAGAGTCACTCGCTAATAAATAATAACACATTGTATGTGTACTCACACCTTTTACCTGTCCTGTGTGCCATTGTTCTCGTAAAATAATAACAATATCTAAAAAGAAACAGGCTGAATCTGTACAGATGGTTTGTGTTTCTTTATATTGGATAGTTTACTCACAGTTTACCTCCTGTATGTGTAAAGTCATTAAACACACGGATCTCAAGTGATAGAGCTGGGTTTCTAGTTTAAATCCATTTGGTTTTTACACTTTAAACACAGTGATATATTAACACTGTTAAACAAGCAAACTGCAGTCTTACATTACATTACATTGCATTTAGCTGACGCTTTTATCCAAAGCGACTTACAATAAGTGCATTCGACCAAGAAGATACAACCTTGAAGAAAACAGAATCATATAAGTACATCAGGTTTCATAGAGCCAAAACTTTTAAAGTGCTACTCAACTGGCTTTAGATAAGCCAGCCCTTTATTAGTGTTTAAGTGCTTTGTTAGTAATTATTTCGCTCGAAGTGGAGTCGAAAGAGATGAGTTTTTAGTCTGCGCCGGAAGGTGTGTAAGCTATCTGCTGTCCTGATTTCAATGGGGAGCTCATTCCACCATTTTGGAGCCAGGATAGCAAACCCACGTCTTCTTTACTCTCTGTCTCTGCCCACTCTGCTGGAGCTCTGTAGATACCATGTGGGTGTCTCTTTCTCTCTGTCTAACAGAGGGAATGTGGGAGTCTGCTTCTGTTGATCTAAAATCATATAAATTCATCTTACTATCAGTGCTAAGACTCACTCGACTCACTCTGTGTTTTTGTATGCTCATGAGCTAAATATCTTTAAAGCACATAAAAAGGCTTAAATGACCATGCTTGATGTCATTACTTGTAGTTTCCATGATCTTTTTAGTGCGAATATATCCTTATGGAGAAAGTTTCTTCCAAAAAGCGACTATTATTTCAATATTGATGAGTTTAAATGCTGTTTCCGGTTCATCACTTGCATTCAACCTCCTTGGATGGAGACCAACTCTACACTCTTTGTGTCTCTGTGTTGCAGATCTCCGTCCCGGCCTCCAGAGTGGTGGAGCTGACGGAGAAGCTGCTGTCTCACAGCGAGGTGAAGCTGGCGGGGCTGGGCTCCAGGGACAGCCTGCGGCTGGAGGCGGGGCTTTGTCTCTATGGCAACGACATAGATGAGACCACCACACCTGTGGAAGGCACGCTGGTCTGGACCATTGGTGAGATTATAGTGGTCATTAAAAAAAGATAGATTTTTTAAGTTAATATTTAAGTCTTGCAGGGTTTTTGCTCAAATAAGCAGGTTGGAAATTGACGCTATAAAGCTTTTAGGAGAACTGCCAACTAAACCTATTCAATGTGGCCTGGTTTGAAAGCAAAAAATGAAATATATAGAACTAAAAGATCTGAAATGAATGTCAGTGCCTTTTTATATAACTATAATAAAGGAGACGGCATGAATTTCCGGCAACTGTCTTGACATTGAACCATAGAAACTGAACAGACTTCACATTGCAGAAGAACATGCTATGCTGAAATTGCTCCACATTTAATCCCTATTATATTTTCAACTGCAGTCTATTCTTGTAGAATTAAATTATGAGAACATGATTTAAATATTGTACGAAAACATTTAATCATTCAACTCAGTTCTAATCTAATCAACTGCCTACCAATTTACCAAAAACCCAGACTATCTTTTCAACACATCACTTCACAACACAAAGAAGCACTTTATTGAGCTTTGAATATACACTGCAGTCTGTTCACTGTGTTAACTCTTAATTATTTATCTCTCATATATAGGTAAGCGGCGGCGTCAGACAAAGGATTTCCCTGGTGCTGACATCATTGTTCCTCAGATAAAAGCCAAGACAGCAAGGAAGAGAGTCGGTTTGGTGTCCACCGGCCCCCCCGTCAGACAACACACACCTATACTCAGCCCCGATGGAAAAGTCATAGGTCAGAACGCAAACACAGTGGAAGTGGTGGACATGAGAGGGTAGTGTATTTCAGATAAGAGCCGAAATAAATCACTGCTGGAGTAAAAGAGTAACAAATTAATGTATTAAGAATTGTTTTAGGTAATTCAAAGCACACAATATTAAAGCCACAAAGTTGTTTTGTTGAACTTTTTTTACAAGCAGTGCTGTATTTTCTTTGTAATCCACTAGGGGGTGCAGAAGTAGCACGTTTTCCAACTTTTAGTTTTTGTTAACTTCACATGAAATATATACATAATTCAGTTTTACAATTTTGGTTGTAACCTCATTTCACATGTTATTTTGCTTGCATAAGCCAAATTGTGAATATATTAATATTTTTAAAAAGCCTACGGTTTAAAGTACATAGCAGTCCCGGCATTTAGCTTTTGAGTGAATGAACAAGTGAATAAATGACAGACAGATTTTTAAATGTTTAACATATTCTTTGCTGTTTTTTTAGGTGAGGTGACCAGCGGCTGCCCCTCTCCATGCTTAAAAAAGAACATTGCCATGGGTTACGTGGATTCGGCATTCGCTAAGAACGGAACAGCCATCCAGGTTGAGGTCAGGAAAAAAGCTGTGCCCGCCACTGTCAGCAAGATGCCCTTCGTCCCCACCAACTACTATTCTGGATAGGAGAGACACACACATAAAGAAACATACACTCACACTGGACCACTCCTCTACTCTGTCCCATATTCACCAATGACGTACCCCCGTTTACCTCCAGCAATGCAATACCAATGGAAGACTTAATGCCTTCATTGGCAAGTCCTCTAAGAGAAAATAATCCAAAACGATAAACTTTTATAGAGACAGTATGTATGCTGGAAATTAATTACAAACAGTATTGTTGAGTCTGAGAATGTATGTATGACTGTAGGGCCAAGATACTGTGTTAACACGGTTTGCAGACCAAGTTTTTTTTGTATTTTAAAGGTAGACTGCAGGTTAACTGAATAAACTTACTGCACTTTCAGTAAGACAGAAACCCGTAACTGTGGACTCATTTAATTAACTTTTTTTTTTATACAAGATAGGTTTTGCTAATGAAACATGACATAATTGACTCTCTTACCGCTGGACCAAAACAAAGCCATACCAAATGGCTCTGCTGATGTTAAATCACTGTCTTTTTTTTTTAATGCAAATTGTTGATCATTTACGGCTTAAACAAGGATGGTCAAACATGGCCAGCTAAAAATCGCTCCAACACCTCATCAGAGATATGTTAAATGACAAAAGTGTTGGAGGGATTTTGAGAAGGTTCGGTTTAGAATACCCACATCAGATAAAACATAACCAGACTGTTTACAATATGATGCTCCTGAAAGAGAAATGTGGTTTATTGATAACCTAACTTGAAAATATGTTAATTGTCATAATGTGTTTTGTCTGGCAACTAATGAAATGTAATTGTATTGTCTCTGAGTATTAAGCTCTGAATGTATTTTTTGTACAAAAAACCCATAACATTCTTAATATAGAAATAAAACTACTGATCGTTGTCGGTATTTGTCATCTTTGTTTTGAAGGTGTACTTTTTTCGTCACAGCTAATTTTAATATTTATCAGATGTATTCCATTGTACACATTGCTTTACTGAAACGTACACTGATATCCAAATAAGATAGATTCAATTGTTCTCTTTCTATATTACTTGGGTCAGTCAGAATGGCTTCAAAGAAAGGGTCGGAAGGAGCCAAGAGATATGAAACAGGAAGGATTAATGCCATATGTCTCATAATAATGAAAACGCTAAGTGGCACATGTCGGTATGGTAGGCTTACGAAAATAAGCTTTAGGTTGTGACTTTTATGTTAGTATTCTGATTTATTCTTTAAAAATCAATTTCAATTTAAAGTTGTTTTTAATTGATTCACTCTGCTTTTTCTTAAAATGTCAACACCCTCAGATTTCTGAATGTATTTCTCCTATATTATTTTTGTATCCAGAATTTTAATTAACTCAAAATTGGCCCATCCATTTAGAATAAGATCACTTATAATGTGGGGTTAGTTTCAGATACCGGAAACGGGATGCTCACACACCCAACCTGGAAACCCGCGCTGCCGGTTAGTTCTGCAGTTTACTGAGGAAGATGGTGGACTTGGCGACAACAGCGTGCTCACTACTCCGTCCTAAACACTTTGGAAAAACATTTATATCTCCACCTGGCATTAGATATAGATTACCGGGAGACAATCATAGATAATACATAGCCAACCCCGTTGAAGGAGGTGACTTTTTCGCATCCGGACAACTCTTTTTATCCGAGACTGGAGAAAGCTGGGAGTTGTTGAATGCACTGCTGGTGTTTGGTGCTCGGGAAGAACGCTAGCCAGCGTTAGCTAAAGTGTCAACAAAAGTGTGAGAGCAGCTGTAATTTTGGGAGCTTTGTACCAAGTTGTCAAGATAAACCAAGGAGACCTTCGTCACTTTGCTGCTGCCACATTTACACCGACTGTGACATCTGTCGGCAGTTGGACGGAAACAGGCTAACTTTAGCTTCCTAACATCAGCTAGCTTTGTTGTGATCCGTGGATCAAAGCGCTACTCGAAATGCCACGGAGTAAAAAAGGGAAACGTGGCTCCAGCAAGCCTGGTAAGTATAGCAATAGAGGTCATACTAACTCACTATCCTTCTCCTGGAAGAAAACCTCGCGGTAGCAGTTTAGGTGTCTCTGCCATATGGCATTACTGATAAAACAGTGAGGCAGCTTTTTGCTCCTCTAACTTTAGCTGCTTGACTAGTGTATATCGTTTTCCTGTCTGCCATGTGGTGACGCTTAGCAGGGCATTCTGCGTGTTTGTGCCATTTATTTTGAAACCATTCACTTTATCGAATTGCTGTACGTGTATAAACCTTGAAGAATTGTCCAAGAAAATGCAATGCATTTATTGGTTAACTGGTGATTTGTGTTGCGTTCAGGACCCTTATTGGCTAAAGCTACACACTTGTAGGGTTAAGGGTAACCGCATGTTATTTTTTTAGCAGCAATGCTATTTAAAAGGTAGGTGTAAACTGTTGGACAGGCAACACATACAACGGGGCCTTTCAGTGCATTTACACACGATTTGGGTTCATTTACGTGCAGTTAAGTTGCTGCTTTGGAGCAACAACTACACGTTTAAACCATTGTACTGCGGTAATGCGGACCATGCATGTGCTGACAAGGTTGTTACAGCCCCCTCACGTTTGATCGAGTGACGTCACCCAGGAAGCAAACACGTGCCTTATATTCACGGGATGTATATTTCTGCTAACGATTAAATAACGGAGAAGGCGGTGAATACATAAATGTATAACACATAAGTACATGTGCATCAGTAGTTTTCAATGTGCAGAGTTTCATAATGATTAGGTAAATAAACTTGAGGTTTTCTTCTCCACTTTGGTCACTTCCCATTCATTTTATTATCCGCCCACCATTCCTCCTACACTCTTTACCCCCTTTATTTCAACCATCCTTCATCCATCCATACGCCGTCTCCAGGCTCTCTTCGTCAGGAGGTTCTTCAGCTGTCAACTAAAGCCTCGCTGAAAGGTAACTCCTCTGATGCTTGACCCCGGCTCCGTGTCCAACACAAGGCATGTCCAGATGTTCTTGAACCGCACTACAGTGCAGTAAACCAACACGCTCTACTTATCGTGTGTTTTTTCCAGCACCACTAAACATGATTACCTTCCCCGGCCCTCACTCATACTTTACCTGCCCAGATTGCTTATTCTGTATTGACTGGCTGGTTGACTTTCCACAGCATCTTTGTTCTTTAGCCACACAGCGACATATTGTCCGAGTTTATCCAGTCAACACGCATGACCACCATGAAGTAAACGCCCCATCAACTTGCCCATTCGTCCACACTTTTCACTTACAACTGGCAGCTAAAATATAATGTTGCTTCATTGCCGTCTAAGTGATTTCTCTGATCCGCCAACCTCTATCCACTTCCTGGAGTTTCTTATAGATATGCATGTAATATACCTGTGTAACGTTATTGGCACGGTTTTAATGCTGCTAACAGTTTGTTTTTTCAATACGTTACATTGTGATTTTTACTTGATTGGTTGATTAAGAGTTAAATACTGCAACTTTTCACAGATGTACATACAGCAAATTTGCATATTTTTTTTACATCAAACATGTCAGAATCTGACGTTACATTTGAGAAGTAAGTTCTAGTGAAGCAGCAGCTTGTAGGGAGAACTCAGATTATTTTAGTCTTCCATTTAAAGCTTGTACTACAAAGCCATGGCCAGGAACCAGGGAACTGCTTTGTTAGTCCATCTGCTACATATTCTCTTACTGGGGGACTGACTGACTGCAGGAGCTGTTTGAGTGATGTAAGCATAAAGCAGCCGAGCAGAGACGACACGTGTGTCAGTCGTGGCAGGGAGCTCACACCCACCATAACTGAGCTGTGTGTTGGCACTGACCAGACTTGTGTGTGTGATTGTGTGGATTTGTGTGGCTTTGAGGGAGTGACCTGTTCAGTGACCGGGGGTTCAAGGATGATGACGGGGAAATGAGTGACTGATAAAGGCTCACTTAATGTTATCTCAGCTGTGAACTGTAGCTTTGTGAAAGGGAGAGGCGGTGGTTCCAAATAATTCAGGATATTACACAATAAATGCACGGTTTTCAGGGCTGATTAAAGATTTTTTCTTGTATCAATGAAAAACTGAATTGGTTATCACCTAGTTATAATAAAAAAAAATCCAAGCTTATACAAGGATTTAAACTCCCAGTTTTACAGCTATCTGTAATATACTGATGTGAGTTAGGCCTGTCGCGAAAATCAATAAATTGACATATCGTATGATAAATAAAAATGGACTCAATAACTTTTCTGAGCTCGATAAATTGCCGTTTACATGTGTTGTGGCAATTTAGCACTCACAACAAGAAAGAATGAAACAGAGGAATCAATAAAACACAAACACAGATATAGTTGATCAATTATTATTTCGTTGTACAACAACGAGGAAAACATTACCTCTGCTCTCAAGCAGTCCTACAGCAATGCTCCAACCCAGTAGAACTTTACAGAGACATATATAGGATTCTAAAATGACGCACCCTCATTTTCCTTACATTACCTAACACACAACATCACATGTTCTGCCTCTGAATGCTATACTTGTATGTTCCAGATGTCGAAAGTTTACTTATCTCATGACATCCTTTAGGAGTAGTCAACTAACAAAGGTTAACTGTTTTTATAACCTTCTCTGAATTTCCTCTAACCTCGGTGTCAGCTCACTTAAAATGAATACATCTATTGATAATTCAGAACGACCATTGTCTCTAACTCTGTGTGACCCAACTCAGTAACACACATCATATAGCTTACCATGTGACCTTAATGAATATGCCAGAAATACACTGTAATAAAGATTCTGCCATAACACATGCGTGTTTGTTTATATAAGGATGTGACCAGCATTTTAGCCAGGCACGCTGTGGCTGCCGGCCACGCGAGCTCGCGTTGTGTCTGCCGGCCAAGCGCACTGTGGGGGGCGGGGCTCCCACACAGCCAGGTCAGGAGTCAGACACTCCGCTTGCAGCAGTGTAGCATCCAAATTAATAATATAGCGACAAGCACAACGTGTGACTTACTCTAAGGGAATTTAAAGTGAAATGGAATTGGTTGCAAAACCTAATTCCACATCTGCGGTGTGGGAATATTTTGGATTGAAGCCAAATCAACGAGGCGAACCTATGGACTTGAATGAGCCGGTTTTGCCCCTTTTCCACCGAACCGGTTCCCGGGCCAGTTCCTGGCTACGGCCTGGTTTTTCCTATTTCCACCGCAGCGGAGCCGGCTCTAAGCACCGAAAACCGGTTCTTAGCTGGTCCCTCTCCGCTGCCCGGCAAGAACCTAGAACCAATACTTCACGCTTACGTCGGAGGGGAGCGAGATTAACCTGAGCAATAACAGTTGGTGGCGAGTACGGCAAATAAAAGTTGTAACAAGCAGTAGCGCTGAGCAAAGTTACCAGAACGTGACCACACACTTGTAAAAAGTCAGGCAACACTAGCCAGGCTTAATGTGATTCTGTTTATTTTTACCTTACTTTGACCATCCGTTCGCTGTTATTGATTATTGACATTGGCATTGGGATTATATATATTTTTTAAATCCTCTGGAGCAGAGAGAGGAGCTGTGGATTATTGTTATTGATTAATGCATCAGTGTTTCAATTGCTTTGTTTTTGCTGTGTAGAGAAAAAGCAGAATTGCAAGTCGGACACCAACAAGAACACAATTGTCTCTGCTCATTTTACACATTCTAAGCTCAAAAATAATCAGGCATCCAGTTACTAATTTAGCTGCTTTTGATTTCCTCTCTAGAATCTTCGAACTACCTGAGCGCGGGTGGAAACAGCAGAATGCTATCAGAAAATATTTGGCTTGGTAACTGTATATTTGTGATAGACACTAATGGCGCATTTCCACTGCAGCGGGGTAGCCCCGTTTAAGCGTCCCTAAGCGTCCTCGCTCAGGCCTCGGGCTGCCTCGCTGGCCGTCCGAGGCCGTGGCGCATTTCCATTACAGTTTAGGACCTGGGGTAGCAACGCAGTGTAGGCGGGGCGATCGGCTTTGTTTTTGTTCACATTTCGAGTTGTTCCGTCGAGCTCCCGCTGGATTTGATCATCCCCAATGAGATGTAGGAACGTCGTCACCTCCTCGGTCGACCACGGTGTGCTTTTCTTATTAGACGTAGCCATTTTTGTAGCTCATCCATTTACAAAATGCTGTTTATAAAAATGCTGCAAGCTTGCTTCTAAATATATATGCGACGCTAGGGATGAACTCGCGCGCGATCTTGTGACGATTCTCTCTGACCAATCAGCAGGCGAGAGTGTTGACGTCACTTGTTCAGCCCTGGCCCTGGTCTGAGGGAACCACGATTTTATGGGGCCGGAAAAAGTACCCGCTAGCCGGTACTAGGCTATATGGAAAGGCCACCAAAAACTGGCCTGGCCACTTGAGGACGGTTAAGGACGCTTAAACGGGGCTACCCGCTGCAGTGGAAATGCGCCATAAGTTGTACCTAAAGCAGAACTTGACACTGTTGCCGTTAGCCCTCAAATAATAATATTAATGCTAGCAAGAAAGTAAATCACAACGTCCATGTTACATGTCAGTAAAGTGACCCCTGTGTTACCTCAACTGCCCTGGTTGACCTGTACATGAACACACACATACACACAGTCTGACCATTCTGGATGGTACACACTGCATAAATGACCACTTTGGGCTCCAGTAATCCCTCCAACAGTAGAAAGTCCTGAGCCAGCAGGATCCTCAGGGTTAAGCTTTGCTCTTACCCTCCTGTTGTGTTCAGTGAAACAAACTGACGCACTCCTCCTTAATACACACAGGCTGTCGAAACATTAAACACAAATTACCTCCCGTTACTAATAAAAAGTTTAAACATAAAAGATTTCCTAATGGAAAATGCTTCTGTTATCTGCAATTTCCCGAAGTCATGTCATGATAATTAACGTGAAGAGTATCAGCTCCTGTGCGAGTTTGATCATAAAACATGACAGTGGCATGTCGGAGACCAGATCTAAAATGAGACGTTGAATGAAGTAACAGGGCTGGCATTTGTATTTGAAAGTCACACTGCATATAGTTACCAGGCAAATACATCATATTACAGTTTCAATATGACATGCTGGTTATTTATGTAAATCGGAAGAGTTCAGTTTACAGTTGTGAAAATCAGTTTGGACATTTCTTCAGTGTCTCGGTTAAATGCTTCATGAAAGAAAACTGTAAGTTTTCAGTGTTTCCTTGAAACTCTGTTGAGATTTCGCTTTGACAAACTTTTGCCATTCTTCCCGATGTGTGTGAGCGTGCAGAAGGGTCTGAGTGCGTCAGAGTTTGTCTGCATAAAAGAGGAACTCTCCTGGTGTACAGTTACTGACCGAGAAAGACAGCTGAACAGAGGCAGCGTACAGTCAGCTTCTCTGAACCTGCTATCAGTCACTGCTGGGAAATGGCCTCCAGCCAAATTCTGGTTAATTCTGGATGTGTCCAGTTAGTGTTTGGTCTTTCACTTCTATAGATAACCAGCTGTCATTTGTATAAAGTGGCTGTTTCTGTCCAGACATTGCACTATTCAAGTGCATGTAACAAAACGTCAACCCAAATGACCATCTACTTAAAGTTACATCTATCTGAGCATTGTCATTTTTTTAGGTTGAAGAAGTTTGAAGATTCAACTTATTGTCAGTAGTACAGGTACTATGTAACAAAACGGTTTCTCTGCATTTGACCCATCCTAGTTTTAGGAGCAGTGGGCGGCCGGCCATTATCTACGCCGCCCGGGGAGCAGTGTAGGGAACGGTGCCTTGCTCAGGGACACCTCGGTAGCACTTGGTCTTTCCGGGACTTGAACTGGTGACCTTCCAGCTGCCAAGTCCCTATGGACTTCGCCAACACCGCCCTCTTGTACATAATGATACTCCAGTTTATGTGGCGTCTTTACTATTTGCAATTGGAGGAAAATAACATAAAAGAACTACAACATGTTTTGAATTTTGACTTGAGCCGTCCGTCCCTTATAGATACTTATTTTTACGTTAGTGAGCCGGATCATTTGGCTCGGCTTTCTTAAAGCGGCATCTCTTTCGGCTCCCAAACGGCTCTTCGTGTTACCACAATTTACCACGGAGCCTCAGTTTCACCGCTGCGAGGCTATGGTGGTCGCAGCACACGCGCGTGCTCCACTAAACCCCCCCCCCCCCCCCCCACCACGCGCGCAGGTTCCGTGTTGTCCTGTAGCAGGCAACTTCGATGTCGGGGAAACGATCTTCAAAATACTCCAAAAAGAATCCCACCAGACTCCTTTGCCCCTCCAACAGAGGGATGTCCTTGTCCTTTTTCGTCATTTCAAGCGATAAAAACTCTCGATCTTCTCTCGAATTATTAATATTTTTGGTCGCTCGCGTTCAGGGCGTCCCGAGCTGAATAAGGGCGTCAAATGACGGCAAGACGCCCCCCTGGCAGAAACGCTGAATATAATTCATCCCTTGTGAAAATATACCCATATCACTGCTCTCTTTCATTATTCCCTCGTCTTACTATTTCCCTATTCATCCTTTTTTTCTCCAGGTATGAAAAATGGGGTGAAGGGGGAGTCTGGAGCCAGCGACGATGAGCTGACGTCTGATATCCTCAGCCACTGCAGCAGTGCCAGTGAAAGCACCGCTGTGCTGGAAGAGGGCACAGGTTTGTACAGAAATGCTGATAATACATACCCAAGCTTTGTACAATCCTATTTATTATGGATAAAAGGAACTGCTTACATTCACAAAATCAAATTGATATAGCTAGCATTTTATAGAGTATCTTAAATTCCTCTGATTCCACGCTAGCCCCTTTTATTGGCAGTGATTCCCACCAAACTGAAGCCTTAAAGTAGCATACTTTTGACCAAATCCTGCGTGTGTTGACACAGGAGCGGAGCAGGTGGATGAGCTGACTGCCCAGGAGGAAACGGAAGACAAACTCAAGCAGTGTATAGACAACTTGATGGATAAGAGGTGAGCTTTTATTCATTTTTTTAAATAATGAAAAGGGGAAAAGTCAGGAAGACATGCAAAACTATAGTGCAACACCAGGCTGTTGTCAATTTGGTTCCCAACACAAACCCTGGTCTCTCCTCTTTCTCCATGTCCCAGCTCTAAGACACGTCTAGCGGGTCTGGAGTCGCTGCGTCTGGCTTTTTCCTCCAAAGTGCTGTACGACTTCCTCACAGAGAGACGCCTCACCATCAGCGACTGCCTGGAAAGAAGCCTTAAAAAGGGTAAGATGGGGAAAAAAAACACCTGCTAGTGCAAAAATGTCATCCTTTTGGTTTCTAGGAGGAACAAAAAAATAGCTGCAGTTAAACAAATACAACTTTTTCTACTCCCTCCAGGCGGCGTGGAGGAGCAGGCAGCGGCGGCCACGCTCTTCACCCTGCTCTGTATCCAGTTGGGGGGTGGAGACGAGGCAGAAGAGGGGTTCAAGGTGCTCCGCCCCATCCTCACCGCAATTCTGATTGACAGCACTGCCAGCATAGTGGTCCGCCAGAGTGTAAGTAACCTTCTCTGCTGTTGTGCAAAACTTAAGATATGGAGTCATCTGTTATTTACAGCAACTCCAAAAAGAGAAAAAATGAATGAAACTATGGCCCAAACATATGTTCATAGCTTAGAAATTCAATAGCATTAAAGGGAAATTCCACTTAAATGAATGACGGGCTGGTTGTGATTTTCAGTACACTCAGTCTCAAGGTTGTAGCTCTGATGTTTACAGTGTCTGTCACTGTCAATTTTGGAAACAAAGCGAAGACATAAAAACACCACGCTAGATAATGTTTTGGGGACTCTTAACCTCTTAAGTGGACCCCCCCCCACCGTTTTTTTTCGCGACTATGTCTCAAGGCTTCTTAACATTTATGAAACCATTAATGTTCCATACCCTTTTAACGGGAAAAAACTCCGCTAACTGACAATATGAAAAAAAATGTGCTAAAAGAAACACAAGAGTAATACCAAGCCTTTGAATTAGCATTGAGCGAAAAAATGCTAACTAATGCTAACGCACTTTTGCACAGAACTCACGGTAGAAATGCCCTTATTACTTACCGTAACTGCACAAACAAGATATCCGATTAAAGCTGAGATGCCACAGATTTCACACATGTAATGTCATCACTGTACGACCCCGAATTAGCGGAGCTATCAGCCAGAAAAGAGAAAGTAAACAACATCTGGTTTCAAAAATATTACAATAATTACGTCTTACCTTTTTTGATTTGTGATCAAAAGTTGTGTTCCACGGAATAAAAACGCCGCTCAAGGTTAATCCAATGTCTGTGTCACGTAGACATTTTTACTGATAATCCATCATCATATTTATGGCAATATACTGGGTATAAAGCTTTGCAGTCCAGGCTTGTACTTTCAGATATGCTTCGTTTGCTTCTCTATTACGTCCGCAATGGTAATGTTTATGTGGATTTGGGAACTGCCCATCGATTCTAATGGATCTAATGGTTAAGAAAAAGGTGTAAATCAACCAATGGGTTCCAGAGATATGGTCCTGCGTAAAGTATAAAGAATGCCAGCCAGCGTCAGCACCAGTGGCGGAAAATATTTTTGGTGGGGCTGTTGATATAGTGAGTAAAAACATTTTTTTTGGGAGAAATGACTCCTTAAATTAGGACTTCTGGGCCCAGGAGTTCAAAATTTGTAATCCCTATCTGATCAAATCCGATAGGGATTTTGGGGAGTTCAAAACAGGATTAGGATCACTTTGATATCCGATCAGATCAGGAAATCCAATCCAAGCTTTAATCTGGATCAAATCTTCAAAACGGGTAGTTCAAACCGACAACACAGGATTGGGGTCAATTTGATCCCAAAAAACTGGATTATCCTGATCCCACCAGAGGGGTGGGTTTCCAGTGGATTACCAGAGCAAAATGTACCGTACAATTTATTTTAAAATATGTTTCAATTTAAATTAGATGGCAAAGTTTGTTAACTGAAATAATACACAATTTTTAGCCTTCATGGAAAATACATTTTATTTTTCCATTTTTGCTCACGTTTGTGGTGGCCTATTTTATTTTCAACCAAATGTTGATGACATACATTTTTATGCTCATATAAGTATCACAACAAAGATTGTCAATCACAAATGTAATTTAGATTAAATAAAAAAATATCTTCAACAAAAAAAAAAGTCCATCATCTGTCATCACCTTTCAAAAGTAATTGCGGACAATAGATAGATAGATAGTCTCTGCAATCTGGTCTTCCTTGTATTATTTTTCATGTCCACTAGATGGAGCTCAGTAGGATTAAAGCACTGATATTCAGGATCTAGTCATCTTGAAAAGTCGTAATCTGGATCAGGGTGATCCTATCCTGAATTGCTTTGAACTCCAGGGACAAAATGTGGCCGACTTGTCTGATCCTGGATCACAAAAAATGGGATTTCAAAATCTGATCGGATCTGATTGAGATTAAAAGTTTTTAACTCCTGGACCCTGGTGATGTAATGGCGCGTTTCCAGTGCAGCGCGGAGCTCGCTTTAATGCTGCGTTCAGACCGGACGCGATGCGAATATTCGCATCGCTCTAGTCGCTCGAGTTTCACCGCGGCTGCCAGCTGTGTTTACTCGCATCAATCAAACAAGACGCACTCGGGAGCTACAACTACAACAAAATGAACACATTTTACCGTGATTCAATTGTAATACACGTTTCTAAATGATGCCGACGTAACAACATACTGATACCGGTTAGTAAAAACCATGAATTAATGCTTTGACAAGTCTGCAGACAGACGGCAGGCGAAAAACCTTTTAGAATGCTTGTTTTCTGAATGGAGATTGGGTCGACCAGGCTAAGCTAACGTTGTATATGCTCACTCCACACCAGAGTCCTGCACGGGTCTGATTTTCAAGACCCGCTCCCGCCCCGCACCCGCGACGTGCAATACCGAACCCGCCCTGCTACCCGCACATATTGCCAATTAGTTCCGCAACCCGACCCGACCCGTCGGCACAAGATCCGCAACCCGACCCGAACCCGCATAGCCTATGAGCAGTGAAAACGTGCAATTATTAACACACGCAGTTTCATATTTGTCTCAGAAAGCGTGGGATGTTGGTTATTTTCTCCATCTAGGATGACACAAAAAGCCTCCCAGACGTTGGATTTCGCTCTTGAGGAAGTGTTATTGAAAATGCTGTATTCTCCGCTAGAGAGCTTCACATCAGCCATTTCGAATGTGGCGCGCACAGCAGCAGATTGATGCGCTGCAGAGGTTATGATTATGCGCGGTCCCGCGGGGGAAAGGTCTGAGGATTTTAAACATTAAACTAATTTATTATTATTTTAATATATTTATTATGCAATACCCGCGACCCGACCCGCATCATCTTTGTTTTACCCAGAACCGAACCCGGAAAAAAGCGTTTGAAAAAATACCACCCGCGAATCACCTTTTTTGCGGGTCACCCGTCGGATACGACCCGATGCAGGACTCTGCTCCACACTCATAACAATGGCCTACAGACATAAATAAACCAGCGACTGTATTCGCCATGACACAGACAGTGCCGAGCCGTGCGGGGCCCGTTTTTGGTTGCGTTTCCACTTGGCCTAGTACCGGCTAGCGGGTCCTAATTCACAGTTTTTCTGGCCCCATAAAATCGTGGTTCTAGGGCCAGGAACAACCAGGCTGAGTATGCTAAACTAGAGAGAGAATCGCTGGCGAGGGGGCTACAACTACAACAAGATGAACATATTTTACCGTGATTTAATTGTAATACACGTTTCAAAATGATGCCGAATTAACAACATACTGATACCGGTTAGTAGAAACCATGAATTAATGCTTTGACAAGTCTGCAGACAGACGGCAGGCGAAAAACCCTTTTAAAATGCGTGTTTTCTAAATGGAGCTTGGCTAAGCTAACGTTATATATGCTCCGACCGTCCACACTCACAACAACGGCCTATACAGACATAAATAAACCAGCGACTGTATTCTCCATGACACAGACAGTCTGTGGTTTGTACTTGTTTAACTTTTGTCTAGTTTCTGAACAGATCGTATCTGTTTGAAGAGCAAGCATGGGAAACAAAAGACAGCATTTACCTGTTTGCATCCAGCTAGCCATGCCTTTCTGGTGTACCAGCTACGTGAGAAGCCTGGTTGATACGTTTTGTCTTTTTCACGAGCTTGCTGCGATATATACAAATCGGGTTGGTCCGGTCCAAGGTCTTTAAGCAACAGTTTATCTCCCAAACTTCTCCTTTCGAAAGGATTGGAGAGTAGCTCTTGCACGGAATTGGGTGCGGACCGAGGTCCGGCGACTCCACCTGCACACGAAGCCATTCTCATCCAACTACTGCGTCACCTTGGTCACTCACGAGTCTAAAAAACAACTCACGTCAACGCACGTAAGCAACGTGGGCGCCAACGTGAGCGCCCTCGTGACCAAAATATTTGACGGCGCTGATTGGCTGAAATTATGTTTCGGCGGCACAGTTTACTATTGAGGCTTTTGCAACGCGCCGGTTGCTGCTGTTTGGCTCGGGGGCTCCGCCCGGTAATGATAAACTAATGCCATGGGCAAGGCCAGGCAGGAAACATGTGACTTATCAGTAACTTTAGACATCGTAACACAATTTTAAACGAGATTTTATTGTAGATTATACATTTTACTGATACCAATTGTATGATATTTACCTTGTTCATTAAAAATAAAAATATAAAATATATATTTTTTTTTATTTTATATTTTTTATTTATATATTTTTTTGTATGTGGGAAGAGGTGGGGCGGCGCCCCTATGGGCCGGCCGCCACTGGTCAGCACATTACGCAGCAGACTACGTAGTGTTTACAACGTAAGGAAGCCGTTATTGCAGGACCCAGAGCGCACGGAGCGGACAGCAGATAACAGAGCAGATTACAAATTATTTTAATTTTTTCTTTTTTTACAACAGTTGTATTTGGATGGAATGGATACCTATAGTGATAAGTGATGTAAGCACTTTGAGCACCAGGAAAAGCGCTTTATAAATGTAATGTATTATTATTATTATTATTATTATTATTATAATTCAAAGTAATTAAATGATTTTTACAGTGAAAAAGGTCAAATGGAACTGATGGTTCCCAAATTACCCAGAGGTGAGACTTTATTTTTCTAAACCGCTCTAAAAAGGTCAAATGTCACTTGTTTTGCATCAATCTTGATACAGGGTACTTATTATATGTTATAGTTTGGATTCTTAAAGCTTTTACTCTACTATCCCATCATTCAAGGGTGGTTTTCACTGTAAGTAATGGGTTTCTTTTAGAATATACATGTTTTTACTATGTTCCATCTGAATTTACTTTAAAATAAAAACATCTATATTGATTCTGACACTCCAACTCACAGATGTAACCTTGCTTTGAGAAAAAAGATGATTAATTTACCCCTTTTTAGAAGTGAAGATATTGTCATTTGTTGTGTTAGTGGCATTTTTTAGCCTGAAACCTGAAAAACAGGCTCAGGGCTTAATAGGTTAAAGACCACTCCCACAGTGTGACATTTTGGAGCAACAAATGCAGGCCTATAGGACGGAGTGATATGCCCATAATAAACAGGTATTTTCTTCTTGTTGTCAAAACAGGTTATTTAACACTTTTGAGTTTTTTTAACAGAAAGCATAAAAGTATTAGGACATACATTTTAAGGTTAAATAGGGCATTTAAAAAAGCAGCTGTACTGCAATGGTCATATGAAAGCATCAGGAGAATCATAGCTTCGCAGTGTCTGCCCTTGATATTTTAAATGTCCAGTTTAATTGACTTATTTTGCCTCTGTCTCCATCAGTGTGCCAGAGCTTTGGGGATGTGCTGCTATGTCTGTACTGCTGAAGAAGGAGAGGTGAGAACTTGTTCTTTTCAAAGGTTGAATCCATCATGACACCTAGTTCTTGCTGGGGGTTTCTGGTTGATACATATGATAATACCATGTGAAACCTTAAGGAGGATAATCTTTGGAGCCGGAAGCGCCACTTAAATGTACATTTGGTGACAGGCTCTTTCTACATCTCCCTACACTCGTATTTTAAGGGCACATTATTACCCCAAATAGATCAAACGCAAATTGAACAAAGTTGAGGAATATTTTGACTTAAAGCATTATTTAGGATTTTTTCCCCTATAGATATCGTATTAACATCATTATTTTAAATTCTTTGGGCCATGCTGTATGTTTAGTAAAAAAACAACTTATGAAAACCCTTTCATAAACCAAATAAAATCAAGTAACAGGACTTCTAAAAAGATAAAACCTAATCAAATGTTTGATTATACATCTGGGATGTTAAATCACGATATGGCACCATCTTAACAATAGCCATATTTACCAATGTCCTATTTGTCTTTAACATCCCTTCCTTACATTTATTTCCTCTTTCTTTTTCTCTCAAAACCACCAATGACCCCCCCCAGGACCTGGTCAAATCTTTGGCCCTTCTGGAGAGCGTCTTCATGTCGTCCTACCCCAACCGAGAGGGAACTATGCCCACCCCCAAACCCGGCAGCCCAGCGCTCCACAGCGCAGCCCTGCAGGCCTGGTCCCTGCTGGTCACCCTCTGCCCTGCATCCAGACTGACCGTGCTGCTCAACCTGTGAGTGAAAAAAACATGACAATACATGCATGACATTTTGATAAAAACCATGTCATCAACGGTAATTAAGGGTTTAACCAACTGTATTTCTCTGCCTGTAGTCACCTCCCCAAACTGCAGGCGTGTTTGCAGAGCAGTGACGTCAACTTCAGGATAGCAGCAGGAGAGACTATCGCCCTGCTGGTGGAGCTGGGGCGAGATGTAGACGAGGTAAACAAACGCACCCCTTTTGGGTATGTTTGGGAGCAGTCACTCAAACTTAAATATGAAATAAATATGGTGCACTCCTCTTTTAACATTCCTTTATTTTCAAATATATCTTTTACGGATTTTTCTGATTTAAAGTCGTGCTACTATGATTCCCCTTGTGTGTAGGAGTTTGAGGTGGAGGACAGTGAAAGTCTTTGTGAGAGTCTGAAGGGTCTAGCCACAGACGGCAACAAGCACCGAGCCAAGAACGACCGGCGGAAACAGCGCTCCATCTTCAGAGAGGTGCTTCATTACATAGAGGTATGATTCACCGCTGCATAAGGATATCTGTACTTAATGATGTTACTTCTATCTGTCGTTTTCATATTGAGTTGTGAATGTCCGCCCTGGCTTTGACTTTGTGTCTCTTTCCTACTCCTGCAGAGCGAGGACTTCACCGTGGAGAAGATCAGGTTTGGAATAGAGGACGTTTACATCGACAGCTTTACGAGGAGGAGAATCTACGATGCCTTCAAAGAGATCATGGAGTCCGGAGTCAGACACCATCTACAGGTCAGGAAACTCACTAAAGCCAGTAGTGCATCGAAGGAGAGATATGTTGGTGTGGTCTCACATGAATTATGACATTGGCAAGGGTGACACGAAGGTTGTCAACCTTTGCATTGCTACCTACCAATAACAGAAAATAAGAAAGGAAACACTAATGTGGGTACTTTTTGTATTAAAGATGAGTTTACACTTGTGTCAACTGAATTTAATGCTCCATATTTTAGTAGATGTTTAAGGTAAATAATGGATTTTCAAAGCTGTAGGCCTGATCCACTTGTTTGTTTAAAAAATAAATATACCCCCGTCACAATTAGTTGTTTAACAGTTTTCCACAACCAATTTAATTAATTTGAGTGTTTTTCGTTTTTTTTTGCAGTTCAACCCACTAGTGAGAGACATCTTTGGCCTCGGCGCTCCCCTCATCCTGGACGCTACGTCCAAAAGCAACAAGATCTCTCGATTTGAGAAGGTACAGCATCTCTTCTGTCTCCACACTGCAACAATCCCATCTCTGAGAGTGACTGCTTTTGTCTCCTTGTCTTGCATTCTTGTTGAGCTTCAAGTGCCACAAAATAAACAAAAAAGGCATCTTGTGTTACTAGGGTTTTATTGTTGCACTCATGTCTTTATCCTTTTCTTCAACAGCATCTTTTCAACTCCGCTGCTTTCAAGGCCAGGACTAAACAGAGAAACAAAGTCAGGGACAAACGGGCTGACATCATGTGAGAAGAACAACAATGTAGTGAATGTGAGGAACTCCGTGGGCGTTATTGAGATGGATCCAAAATGATGCCTCCGATATTCCAGCTGTCAGACACAAAGACTGAACAAACTCTTTAAAGGGCTTTTTCACTTGTGTTCTTCACCACAAACAAATACTTCAGATTCAAGATCCACTATCTGCTTTTCACCTGTTTTTGACACAAAACAGGGTGAATTGGAGCAACAATTGCTAACTGTATTTAACAATATACCAGTCCAGAGGCTTCAAAATGGATATCAACTAGACAGAAACAAGTTGATTTCACAAGATAGTAAAAAAATAAATCTTATATTAAATTTATAAATAAAAACAAATTAAGTAATTTGGCAAACATTCTGACACTTTATGTTACATTTTAGATCTGTGGAGGCCCTCTCTGGTGCTGATAGGAATTTTGTCCGATACTCAGCTTTAAACGATGCCTGGTGGCTTGACCGGTCAATCAAGTATTTTTAAATGCTAATAACTGACTTCTGTTTCCACATAAAGCTGCTTCTCTTGACCAGATCCAGTCCTGGTTGCTTCTGTAACACATATAAAAAAAGGGCCATGTTAATATATTCAAATCTCCTCGACTGTGGGCTACATATTTTTTGTTATCCCTCAGTTGTCTTCTGTCTTTACACTCAGAGTGACCACTTCAACTGCCAAACCAGACACTGGCTTTAAGAACAATGCAACCTAAAATCAAACTAGTGGTGTTTTTGTGTAAGAGTACTACATTTATTTAACATCCTGAAATAAAATGCACAAATACACATACACAATATTTTTGCTTAATTAAAATCAAATCAAAGAGGTTATATGGTCATCTTTATTACTTTTTTGAGAGGAAAAATATGTTATCATTTCTGGTGGAACATTGTATTTTACTATGTAATTTTTTGTTGAAAGAACAGTACTGTGGTTTTTTTAAAGAACATTTCAAATGCTAAGAACTGTTTACAAACAATTATGGGAATATATTTTTAACATGGGTTGGTAGATCATACAATCTATCCATGTGCGTGTATTGCAGATACACTGTACATACGGATTTATGGAAGACCTGTATCAGACGATGCGTTTGAATGATTTTACCTTTTGATGATCTGTAAATACACACTGTACAGGCCACCTACCAGAGCTGCTGATCAGTTTGATGGTGTTGTTTTTAATGATGGTTAGGTTTTTTGCTTGTATTGCATTTAAAAAGCACACTTGTTGCCTGGAGACTTCTGTACTGTGAGGAAAATCTCTCATCAGCTTTCATAGTTTCTGTCGTTGAACCAGGATTGACCCCTGAATGAAGAGCAGCAGCCTCACCAAACGGTCTTATCAGTGCTTATGGTGTTACAGAAGAAGGATCAAATGAAATAAAGACTATTTAAGCAAGTTCTTTGTAAAATGTGTTGTGATTTTAAAAACGTGCTTCGGAGTTTGTATCTGTCGGCTATCTACTAGAATTTGTGGGACAACGGATCAGTGGGGAAAATAAATGTTATTATCAAGACTTGTGACTTATCAAGATATTTTAAAGAGATCCTACCGCTGTGATAACCTGAAAGAAAATGTCAATGTAAGCCATAGGCAGAGCATTACACACTTTAGTATCAGCTGCCTTTCCTTTCAATAATTCACAATTGTGTATGTGTTTTTGTATCAAGGAGCAGAAGTTTTGACAAATTCAAAAATGATGATGAATGATAAATACATTTTTACACCGTTTTTCATTACATTCAGCCAAAGAATATTTTTATATTCTCATGGTGAATTTATTTTTGAGTAAATTATCCCTTTGAATACACTGAAGCAAGATCTGCCTACAACTTTTCATTTTACAGGTCGCATTTTCTGCTCTGCTGTAGATGGTTTGTAAATATGAATTTAAATATCAAGTTAGAATATATCTTGAGATAGGTAAAACTTGAAAAATGAGCATAAGCAACGCATATTAAATTGCTAAATTGCTGGTATGTTCAAGAAGTAGGCTACAATATGACATTACCATTAGTGTCTGTGTATTCATATTAACCAACTCAACAGTACTACACTGTTTATGGCCACCTTGTTGACTCTCTGCTACCCTTATGCGGCCATTTTTAGGTACTACACCCCTCTAAAGTGAACCAAAGTGGTATCGTCCATGCATGAATTCAATTCAACATGGAGGCGGTGGTGGCGTAAAAATCATTGCTGCGAAATGTTCAAACAAGTCCAGAGAAGGCGATAACTTCAAGGGTTTGTGGAATAATTAGTAAAATGATACTCGGTATTCTTTAAACTCTCAGAGTAGCTTTGAACGGTTTAATGTTATTGCTTAATGCATGCGTTTGTACATGTCTGGTGTCTCGGGCTGACTATAGTGTGACAGGTTGGTGATTTAATGTGGGGGTGTGTGTGTGACAGGAACCACCGATGGAGCCCAGCCTGGTCACCGGGCTGTACGGAGAGGTCAGCGGGCTCCCTGCCCCGGTTTCTGCTCATGTGAGTGAAGAGCAGCTCCCAGAGGTCCGGACATTCACCGTGACTGCTGGTAACTCTGTCTTTTAACACTGTCTCTTTGGTGTAACGTCTACTGTAGGTGTTTTTAACATGGTAGCTGTCTACAAAAATACATATGTGTATAGGCCTACGTATAGAAAAGTGTATGCTTTTAAACTTCCTTTCTGGTTTGGCAAATCTAATGGCCATTTATGTAAGTAGAGACAACTATTGAGTAATATAACTTGGCAGTCAGTCTTGCTATGTTACGTCCAGACACAGCCTGGAGTTTAGATGTTATAAACAACACAACATATGTAAATAAAGAGTGCGCTTCTCCCCCCCCACCTCTATTTCTCTCACACCCTCTTTCTCTATCACCTATTACACAAGTGCAAGCACAGCAGACAGTATATGTTATGTTTGCGTTAATATTTCTGCTGTCAGTTTTGCTTTTGTTGTGAATTAACTAAGTACACACTGCATTCCCTAATGCAATATAACTTCAAGGGAATGGATTATACAATTTAAGCAATTTCTACTTTTTACTAAAGTAATGGCAGCCTGAATAAAGAGTTTGTATACTACTACTAAACCATACGAATATTGTGGGTAGGAAAATACTTCCCTTTAAAGCATTTAAATATTGTCAATCCAAATCAGATCAGTTGGTCTGCTGTTGTTTAACAGACATGACACAAAAGTTACACATTCAAAGCTGAAAACCTGCTGTATTGCTTTTCTTTTCCAGACCCCAAAGTGCAAGTGTATCACATGAATGGAAAAACAACACTGTGTTGTCAACACAGTGAATTATTTAAGTGTAATGCCTATTTGCTCAAAATGTATCCTGCATGCAAAAACTGCTACAAGAAGAAAAGAAAAACCCTTAATCATTCACAGTAAAATCAATGGGGATATTGCTTTTTTTGTTATACATCTTTGTTAATATGTCTATGAGTGATGAAAAGTCAGTGAGTCATTGTAAATCATCCCCTGGGAATCAAATCCAATTTCATGACAGTTGTTAGAAAAATATCTTTCTCTCTCCGCTTGGAACCTGAATCAACAGGTCACTGACTTAGCCAGTTAAACAGACCATTACTTCAATTTCAACCAGCCTGCATGCAAATCCGTGTGGGAATGAGTACGACCTCCAGCCTTTCTTTAGGTCTCGTGACAAGCTGCCGGTCATAGACGCTCTGACACCAGTGATCTCGTCTTAAGGGTTTAAAATGGGTTTACAGGGGAAACCCATCTGTTTCTCTGGAGTATACCATTTAACCTGACTGTTGTTTATGGGAAATTCTACAGTGCATGTCCTCTTCATAACACCACAGATGTCCACTGATTCAAGCCAAATGGGTGCTGAGATGGCCTTGACCTAACATAGTATAACTGTAACACAAACATTATACAATTGTTATAACATGCAAGGATCTTTAGATATTTTTAAATTAAACAATAAACACAAACCAAGATGATAAGGAAAAGTTACTGGAAGTACATTTGTATTAAAGGTCCCATGTCATGCTTTTCCGGTTATTACCCGTCCCCTTGTGTGCTATGAAGGTTTTTATGCATGTAAACGGTCTGCAAAGTCACAAACCCTCAAAGTACACCCTGTGTACCCTGAGTAAAACTCTAACACAGAAAATACCTGTCTATGCTGCCCCAGAACGCCTCGTTGGAGATTTATCTTTTTCCATTGTTTTTTTAATGGGTACAGTGACGTGCCCCCAAATGGATCCATTGATCCAAATGGACCAATCCGTGGAGCCGTTACTTTACGTCCGCGGAGCCGTTAGGTTAAGTCCGTCTCTCACAGACTTCCTCACACACACACACTCAATCTTTTCTCAGCTGCAGCTCCGCCGATTTCTCATCCCTGAGACGGCGGGACGCGGCGAGGCTGTGAGTCGGTGTGTGAGCACACACACAAACTCCCAGCCAGGCTGCGGGTGTGTGTGTGTGCGTGTGTTTCGGGCTGGGTTTTGCTGTGTCTCGCTGTCTTGCAGACGGCCACTGGGCTCATAGGGAGGGGGGGGGGGGGGGCAGGAGCTCCAACAAGCCGATTAGGACAGAGTGAATACACATACTTTACAGAGATGCTGTATAGTATGTGATTTTGGAAAATTGCACAATATAAATCTATTTTAGTAGACCTCAACAATGGAATTATGATCAGTAGAAATGGCCATGACATGGGACCTTTAATAACTTCTGTGTGTCTGTGAACAGTTAGTTATGATCCTTTAGATTCAGATTCAACTTTATTGTCATTACGTAGTACATGTACTAGTGACGAAATGTAAGTTTAGGCATCTGACCAGAAGTGCAAAATAGCAGCAGGAGTCTACATAATGAGAATAATTATACATGGAATTATTATAAATAGAATAATTATAAATAGGCTATAAACAGATGAATATATGTGTAAACGGCATTGACAGTAAAAGATATAAACAGGTGGGTGGTGGGTATGGGCTTGAGTCTATCAGCGGGCAGAGTTCAGCAGGGTAACAGCTCTGGGGAAGAAGCTGACCCTGAACCTGCTGGTCTTGGACCGGAGGCTCCTGAGGCGCCTCCCCGAAGGTAGGAGGACACCGATTATGCGTTGGGCGATTTTCGTCACCCTCTGCAATGCCTTCCTATTGAGCATTGTGCAGTTCCCATACCAGGCTGTGATACAGCTGGTCAGGATGCTCTCAATGGTGCAGCGATAAAAGTTCACTAGAATCTGAGGAGAGAGGTGATCTTTCTTTAGTCTCCTCAGGAAGAAGAGATGCTGGTGAGCCTTCTTCTGGTGGTATTGTTGGACCATGAGAGGTCATCAGATATGTGGACCTCCAGGAACTTGAAGCTAGACACACGCTCCACCGCCGTTCCATTTATGTGGATGGGAGCGTGTGTGTTGCCTTTCGATTTCCTGAAGTCCACAATGAGTTATTTTGTTTTTGTAGTCAGTGATGGCCTGAATGCCCTGCCACATTCTTCGGGGGTCGGAGTTATTGAAGTGCTCCTCAATCCTCAGTTTGTAGCAGTGCTTGGCCTTCCTTCTTTAGGTGAGCCCTGGATAAACTGTAAGCCCGTTCGTCACCTGATCTGAAGGCGATGTTTCGTGCTTTCAGTAGTTGGCAAACTTCTTTATTCATCCACGGCTTTAAACTAGTACTTTGTTATTTTACAGCCAATATTCTAAAATAAGTACACATAAGGTTGAAGGTTTTGCCTCTTGGGCATGGGTGTCTGTACGCTTGAATCACATGAGTGTGGAATATTCATTTCTCAGAGTGGAGTCAGAGCGACCTGGTCCGAGGCTCCAGACTTCGCTACTCGCAGCAGTGGACTCTGATCGCAGACAGCAACCACCACAAGAGCATCAGGACTGTCCTCCCTCCAGGACCCTGTGCACCTGTGGCTGGAGAGTGAGTACACACACATTATGTACAGAGAGAAAGTACTGTGAGAAGCCTGGAGCTCCAAATGTTACACAGCTTTAAAATACTTCGAATAGGAGCTTCTTCATTTGCAGATCCCTTAGTTTCCACTCATGAATGACCGTCTAATTCAACAGAATCAACATGTTTTATGTGTAACATACTGTACACTGTTTAACCAGAGAGTGTACAGTGAAGCATTTGTTTTGGGCCTTGTGTTCAGTTTTGCTGTAATCCAAAGTTTTCATATCTCTTCCGCTCTTCAGGTTAGTGAGTGCTATCTCTCCCATTCGAGGCCAGAGGGCTGTTGTCAGGGAAACAAGCGGCCACCAGCTCCTCGAGGTGAGAAAAACAGATCACAGTATGCTCTGTTAGATTAATGTTGGAGCATTTTTACACACTGTTGTTGTTGTTCAGATATGGAACCACCACGGCCTCAGGAAGTGCCTCAACCTGACAGCTCTCAAAAAACACGGCAGAGTGTACGAAGATGGTGAGGCAGAGTTTTTGTTTTTCTTGTTTCCACCCAACTAATAATCTGATGAATCATTAAAAAAATCACTGACCCTGTCATATCAGCTAATGTAGTGTTTTACACTTTTGTAAAGTATGCGGGGTGCTGCAGTTGCACCCATGCATTATTTTGTGTTCATGCATTTATATAACCACTTATAGAGTGTGTGTGTTTGGGATTACAGTGCAGTTTGGCTGTCTTTCCTGGTCAGAGTGTGAAAAAAAACTGCTGTATGTAGCTGAGAAGAACAAGAACACACATGATGGAGAATCTGCATGCAGAAAGGTATAAAACACACACACACACACACTGGATATTGTTTTTAGGTGCATTAAGATGAATAACATGCAGATTGTGAATCCACCAGAAGGATATAACCTATTGTACAACACATTTTTCACCCAAAATACATTCATGTCATTAACTACACACAAAAGTGTTAATAATGTGTATGTCGTTTATTTAGCTTGTGTGTTTATATTGTGCCTGAACAGGACAGGAGTGTGTACTGTGAAGACTGGGGCGAGGCTTTAAACAATAAGAGCGTTCCGGTGATATTCGTGCTGAATCTACAGAATGGCTCCGTCAGCGAGCTACAGGGCATCCCCCCTGATGTCTCCCCTGGACAGGTGATGGTCATTGTGAATCAACTGTCCCTGTGTGCCTTTGTGTCACAGTATGAAGGCTACTGCAGATTGATTGACATCTTTAATAATAATGTGTGTGTGTGTCTGTCTGTCTGTCTGTCTGTCTGTGTGCGTTTGTGTGTGTGGTCCTCCAGGCTCTGTGGGCTCCCGGCAGTCAGTCTGTGGTGTTTGTGGGTTGGTACCACGAGCCCTTCAGACTTGGACTGAGGTTCTGCTCCAACCGCAGGTTAGATGGTCCTTTTTCTGAGTCATGTTTAAAGAAAAAGCAGCATCATAAGCTCTATAAACTAACATATATCAATTGTAGTGGCACGTTACCTATATGTCTGCCTGTTCATCAAATATTCTTCTGTGTACAAACAAAGAAAAAAAAATACTCTTTGGTTTTTTATGTGTGTTGTATAAATTACATTACATTACATTACATTGCATTTAGCTGACGCTTGACTTACAATAAGTACATTCGACCAGGAAGACACAACCTTGAAGAAAACAGAATCATATAAGTACATCAGGTTTCATAGAGCCAAACATTTCAAGTGCTACTCAACTGGCTTTAGATAAGCCAGTCCTTTATTAGTATATAAGTGCTTTGTTAATAGTTATATCGCTCGAAGTGGAGTCGAAAGAGATGAGTTTTCAGTCTGCGCCGGAAGATGTGCAAGCTATCTGCTGTCCTGATTTCATTGGGGAGCTCATTCCACCATCTTGGAGCCAGGATAGCAAACCCACGTGTTTTTGCTGATGGGAACTTGGGTCCCCCTCGCAGCGAGGGCGCAGCGAGTCGTTTGGCTAATGCAGAGCGTAGTGCACGCGCTGGGGTGTACGGTTTAACCATGTCCTGGATGTACGAAGGGCCAGATCCATTCGCAGCATGGTACGCAAGTACCAGTGTCTTGAAGTGGATTCTAGCAGTTACCGGAAGCCAGTGAAGGGAGCGGAGGAGCGGAGTGGTGTGGGAGAATTTAGGAAGGTTGAAGACCAGACGAGCCGCTGCATTCTGGATGAGCTGCAGAGGTCGGATGGCACATGCAGGTAGACCAGCCAGGAGGGAGTTGCAGTAGTCTAGGCGTGAGATGACGAGAGCCTGGACCAGAACCTGAGTCGCTTTCTGAGTCAGCTGGGGACGTATCTTCCTGATGTTGTAAAGCGTGTATCTGCAGCAACGGGTTGTAGCAGCTATGTTTGCAGTGAAGGACAGGTTGTTATCTAGGGTCACACCCAGATTCCTTGCAGTCTGAGTCGGGGAAACAACTGAGGTGCCGATGTTGATTGTTAGGTCAAGAGTGGGACAATCTTTTCCCGGAAGGAAGAGCAGCTCAGTCTTGTCAAGGTTGAGCTTGAGGTGATGAGCAGACATCCACTGAGAGATGTCAGCTAGACAAGCAGAGATGCGTGCGACGACCTGGGTCTCTGAGCGGGGAAAGGACAGAATTAATTGGGTGTCGTCAGCGTAGCAGTGGTATGAAAAACCATGCGGGCTAATAACTGATCCGAGTGAGTTTGTGTACAGGGAGAAGAGGAGGGGACCAAGAACAGAGCCCTGAGGGACCCCTGTAGTTAATTGACAAGGGTCGGACTCAGACCCTCTCCAAGTCACCCTGTAGGTACGGTCTTTCAGATATGAGGTGAGGAGGGAAAGTGCAGAGCCTGAAACTCCAAGCAATAAATCTGCATATTTTCATAATATCCATAAATGATCTTTATTTTTTGACCTTGTGTTAGTGGCAAGTAATTGTTTGACATATGCTGAATCAAAACTGAGTAAAAATGATAAAGCAGCAGCAAATGAAAACAGAATAATGTTACACATTTAGTTTGTTGAGTTGTAAAAATAGTTCTTTATTTGTATAGCAGGGCTTAAACTTAACATTTGAATTTACAGTTTAATTATGTGTCTTTTTTCCTTTTAATTATTTTTCAGGTCAGCGATATTCAAGCTCGACCTGGATGGAAACTGTGGTGAGCACATGGTGTTTGTCTCTTGACTCACACTCACACTCTCTGCTCAGCTGATCCCTGTGTGTTCTCCCTCTCCAAACCAGAGTGTGTGTCGGGGTCCGACCTCTCGGTGTCCTGTCCCCGGCTGAGTCCTGACGGCTCTACCATCGTCTACTTGCAGGGCCGAGTGTTCGGCCCCCACAACCAGTGCCTTAGTCTGCAGCAGGTACACTGTGTGTGAGTGTGTATTCAAAGTCAAAAGTCAAGTTTCTTTTTGTTTGTGTGTACAGACAGAGAGATGGAAATACCGTTTCCCACAATCCTGAATACCAAAATACAAATATGTATAAAATATGTATGCCCTATATATACACAATCAACAGACACATTTATACATATGCACCCATTAAGATTAAATAAAAGCACAACAATCAATATCTACAAAATAACAGTCACTTCAATATCTTTGGGAAATGTACATTAGTGCAAGATTGTCCATAGTGTATGCTTGTGTGTGTGTGTGTGTGTGTGTGTGTGTGTGTGTGTGTGTGTGTGTGTGTGTGTGTGTGTGTGTGTTTGTGTGTTTTCCACCTGTTAACAAGTGAATTTATCTAGCACATTTCATATGACAGACATTGACTTTTGTCCAATAATAAAAAGCACAAATTAAAACAATAGGCAAAGATCATACATGAAAATAAACTTTGACTGTTGACTATTAACCCTCCACAGTTGGACCTGAGGAGCAGGAAGTCATCCACACTGCTGGAGGTTGTCAACAGACCACTGACTGGTAGGTTACTATATACTAGTGCTGTACTCTGGATGAGTCAGGTGGACAATATCATATTCCTATAATCGTCCCTTGTTTAATATGGCAGCTGTGTTGAAGGAAATGCAATTTTCGAAATTGTCACTTTCTCTTCATGCCATTCCCGATAATGGCTTGAAAATACCTGACCTGTAGCTATTTTAGTTTGTTTTATTAAGCTAGAATGAAGTTAATTGGGCAGGTGCATCAACACATGTAAGGAGCCTTTAACAAAGCAGGGTACACAAGCTGATCTAGGGAGAGTGAGAGTGCTTGGTGAAGGACCAGCATTAAAATGTATATCAAAATTAAAGTTAACGAATCATTCTGTCCATGTGTCTCTGTTTCAGGTGAGTTTGCAGGTGTGTATGAGGCTCTGCCCCCCTGCTGCTGGTCTGCCGACAGTCAGAGAGTGGTGTTCAGCAGCGCCCGCAGGAACTGGAAGGTAACAACACGTTTACATGCTTTATTATTAATCATGTGTGTATTCGTTCTGCTTGTGGTGACCATTGAGCTTCAGAGGTTTACATTTGTTACTGTTCGGCAGTGCAGCTAGATGTTACCCTTTGTTTCCAGTCATTATGCTAAGCTAAGCTACCCTGAACTAATCCTCCTCCTGACTCTTGCTACTTAATCAATACACAGACATTTATGGTATTGATCTCTGCCAGAAAGCAGCTTAGTGCATTTCAAAAACATCTGGCAGACATGCAGAAAAAACTGTGTATTTATAATTGTATTATTATTTTGTGGTCATCATGACATCCTATATACAGTTTCCATGCCTCATTTGTTACTTTCTTTTCTTTCTCAGGATCTCTATATGGTGGACAGACAATCAAATAAAGTTACCTCCCTCTCTGATAGTAAGAGTCCCTCCTCTCCTCCTCCACCTCCTCTCTCACATCTGTCCTCATCTTCATCAGTTTTTTTCCCTCCACAAACTCCTCCTCCTCCTTCTCCTTTCTCTCCTCCTCCTGTGTCTCCTCTGCTTCCGCCTCCTCCTCCCTCCCCCTGTTGGTTTCCTCCATCTCATGCTTCTCTCCCTCATCCTACCTTTCCTCCCCCTCCTCCTGCTGCTCCTCTCTCTCCATTGTCAACTCATCTTCATCTCACTCTCTTCTACCCTCATCCTTCACCTCCCTCTTCTCCCTTTCCTCCACTTCCACTTCCTCCATCTTATTTTGACTATCACCTTCCTCCTCCTCCTGATCTTCCTCTTCCTCCCGATCCTCCTTCTTTCCCTCCTCCTCCACCTTCTCATCTTCATCATCAGGAGCACAATGGAGAACAGGAAGGTACGATAAGACCAACAAATTAAATGTTGCCATCAAAACATCCCACCGGGGACTTTCAAAAGTCAAAGTCAAAAGGAACACCACAGGAGCAACACTGAGCGCCAAGAGGCATTAACAATGAAATACTTTATTGCTGGAGCTAAATGATTATGTAGACTATTGACAATAAATGTTTTTTTAATGTGATTTGGATAAACAAGTGCTTGACATATCATCAACACTCATACAATTTAATAAGGGTATATCATTTCAAAATTCTCTTTACAAACTTTTAACAGACCTTTATCTTTGTGTTGGTGTTCTGGCTTTCAGTGGATCAAGTACTTTACTCCAGTATTGTACTTAACTACTTTTTGACATATTTGTACATTATTTTGGTATTTCAATTTAACTCTACCTTATACTTCCACTCCACAACTATTCAGAGTCAAATAGCGTACCTTTGACTCCACTAAATGTATTTTAATACTAATTCGAGGTACTTTGCATATGTCCCCATGTTGCTAGGTAACATTACCATGTTGCTGCTTGCTAGGTAACGTCACCATGTTGCTAGGCAATGCTACCATGTTGGTGCTTGCTAGGTAACGTCACCATGTTGCCAGTTGCTAGGTAATGTCGCCATGTTGACGGTTACTGGATAACGTCACCATGCTATTAGGTTACGTTACCATGTTGACGGTTGCTGGGTGGTGTTGTCATGTTGCTGGTTGCTAGGTAACGTCACAATGGCACTGTTATAGTGTACTAATAATCCACACAGTATTTCAAGTATCTAAATTTGGTCCACATCGACAAACTACAATACTAAAATGCTCTTACATGTATATACTATACATAGGATAATATAATAACCATAATAATGTAATACTGTTAAAACATCCATTCAGCGTCACAAGTACTCTTACTTTTGATACTTTAAGTACATTTAGCTGATACAAATAATGTTCATTATATTATTCTGAAATGGATCATTGAACAGAATGAGTACAGAATTTTGAATCAGGACTTTTACTTGTAATGGAGTATTTTAAGACCATAGAATTTGTACTTTTACTTCTTTCAACACTGCTGACTTTCCATCACCACTTCTCTGCCTCCTTTACTCCTCTCTGTGTCTCCCTCCTCTCCCCTGCAGGTCTTCCTGATCTTTCCAAAGTGTTCGGCAGTTGGAAGCTGCTGACAGTACAGAAGGACCTGATGGTTGTCTGCTGCTCCAGCCCCAACACACCCCCCACTCTGGTGAGACAACACACACAAACACAATAATTAAGATTACTCAAATACATTTTTATTTGAGATTTCTTTGTTTCATCAACCTTATTTGTGTGTGTGTGTGTGTGTGTGTGTGTGTGTGTGTGTGTGTGTGTGTGTGTGTGTGCGCGCATGCAGAGGGTGGGTTTCCTCCCCTCAGCAGGTGAGGCTGTGACCTGGCAAACCCTGCAGCAGCCCGTCATGACCTTTGACCTCCACTGGACTGTACTAGATGTTACACCTCCACCAGAGGAGGACAACACACACTACTGTGAGACACACACAATGATAAATGAAAATGATGACGATCAATCGCTCTTTCAATAGACACATTTCTCTCTTTATTTGTCTTTCATCAGCTGGTTTAGACTTTGGGGCTGTTTTGGTTAAACCCACTCGTCGCCTACATGAAACCAAGATACCTCTGGTCGTCTTCATCCACGGTCTGTGTTGACTTTTTATTTTACAAAAATGTTGTGCGCACATTTTGTTATTGCAGATAAAGACAGGAAATGGAAAGGTTGTAGGGAAATGCAATGCACAAGGGGACTTAGGGCATTTGTGCCGATGCGATTATTTGGTTGCCCGGTCTGTGTTTACTTGTCTGTGTGATTGCTGTATTTCTGTTTCCGTAAAAACATATTGCCTAAGTTTTATTATGTTTTCTTTAATGTTTGTGTGCTCCCCCAGGTGGCCCCCACTCACAGTTCCCAGCTGAGTGGAACAGCACCACAGCTGGACTGGCTCAGCTCGGCTTTGCTGTGCTCATGGGTGAGACACACACACATACACACACCACTCTCAGTAAGACATTAAATAAGCAGTATTTTGTCCAATAAGTGTTGGGGATTCAGTCTAATTTCCTTTATGCATACAGGATGTCAGCTATAGTCCTTTTTGTGTGAGCCTATATATTTAATCTATGTGAAAAACTGACTAAACCATTCTGCTTTTTGTGTTGCAAACAGTAAAATCAAAACATAAATCCTCCTTAATTAAAGTGGACTTATCATGCAAAATGCACTTTTGTACGTCTTTTATACATGAATATGTGTCCCCGGTGTGTCACGGAACTCACCAAGTGTCAGAAAACACAACCCTCTCTCTTTTCCTCCATACCTAAATCTCTAAAAACGGGGCTGCAACGGATCTGATACAGATTTGAAATATCTCTGATGTCAGAAACGAGGAGCTCCGCCTATAGAGTGGCGAAGTCACGCCCATCTACTTCCGGTCCATGGGACCTTATTTTGGAAAAATTATGTATTGAAGTCAATGGAGAGAGAAAACTTATCTTTCGATCCCGTTTTAATTGTGCCATGAATTACACATATGATGTTTGTCAATCTTAAAAAATAATCTCCATGTAAAAAAAGTCACAGTTTGTCGTAAAACTGTTGAAATATAAGACTATGACAAATACGCAACTAGAAAGACTACAAATCCCAGAGTCGCGTAAGTGATGTCACAATTGTTTTTCTCCGCTAAATATAAGAGATAGCTTAGATAACTTTAGCAAGATGCCTGTGTGCTTAGTACCAGGTTGTTATCATACCAGCAATGGGTCTTGCTTGTTCTTTCGCTTCACGTCTGATGAAAGGACCAAGAGTGGCTGGATCAAGTTAGCTACCTAGCTAGTAGCAAGCACGTTAGTTAGCATTACAGCCTTAGCTTTGTCATTTTTATTAGCCTTAACATGAAGTAACATTAAAGGTCCCATGTCATGGCCATTTCCACTGATCATAATTCCATTGTTGAGGTCTACTAGAATAGATTTATACTGTGCAATTTTCCAAACTCACATTGGTTTCTCATACAGCATCTCTGTAAAGTATGTGTATTCAGCAGTATTCACTCTCTCCACTAAACGGCTCGTTGCAGCTCTTGCCCCCCCCTCCCTGTGAGCCCATTGTGCTCCAATTGGTCGGGACCAGTCGGGACGTTGTGAATCGCGCTGAGCTCCGTGGAGGTGTGATTTCCTTGTTTAGCGATACACAGCGAAACACAGCCAAACTCATCCTGAGCACACACAAAGTCACAGCTGAAGTAAAAACAATAAGTGTGGCTTGATATTGAGTAAGAAAAAGGTTGATAAACGCTGAGAGAATGGGTCTGCAGAGAGAATTTCGCCGCGATCCCAACTGTCTGTTATCAGCCTGCAGCCAGGGTGGAGAAATCACCAGAGCTGCCTGCACTGAGTGTGTGAGGAAGTCCGTGGATTGGTCAATTTGGACCAATCAGCGGGGGCTTAACGTAAAGGCTCCGCGGACGTAACGTAACGGCTACACGGATTGGTCCATTTCGTTCCGGGTACGGATGACATCATGCGTACCCGGAAGAATCAAATGGACAATGACGTATCTCCAACGAGGCGTTTTGGGGAGGTATTTTCTGTGTTAGAGTTTTACTCGCGACAGGGCGACTTTGAGGGTTTTGACTCTGCACACCGTTTACATGCATAAAAACCTTCATAACACACAAGGGGACGGGTACTAACCGGAAAAGCATGACATGGGACCTTTAAGTAACCCAACATGTTAAACAGTAAGAGTAGTAGTCATATTTCCTTTGAAGAGTACTGTCACACCGGTGTAATCATTCTATAATACACCATTTAAGCCCGGAAGAGAAATGCTAACGCTACATTAGCGATCTTTTTCTACTTCATGCTATCTGCACAAATGGTTGACATTAAACATTAAAAAAACCAGGCAGTTCAGAGAGAATCAAAGGAAGGCAGGCAGCTTTGCATGACATTCTTTCATTGTGGTGATATTAAGGGTAGTCAATCCCTTGTTTAGCAAGACAGTGACAGCCATCTTGGTGACGTGTGTTGTTGTCGGAGACCAGAGATGTAGTTCATTCAGCGTTTCACACAAAAAAATGTGTTACTTCACAATTTTACGACATTTATTTATTTTTGACTGGCAAAATTATCTTTTAAATTGACAAACATCATATGTGTAATTCGTGGCACAATTTAAACGGGATCGAAAGATAATCTTTCTCTCCATTGACTTCAATGCATAACTTTTCCGAAATAAGGTCCCATGGAGCTCAACCGGAAGGGGAGGGACTTCGCCTCTCTATTGCCGTTCGAGAGCGCTGGAGACGCTGTAGTACATATGCCAGGCCTGTAGGTGGTGCTGTAGTCTGCCACAAAAGCAGCGAAGAAGACTTCTCACAGATTCAGTCCCTTCAAAAACAGGGCTAAAAAAGAGCAAATAGAGCGAAATGAGGCATGGCTAAAATGCATGATCTGTTTGGTATTTTGAAAAAAAAACTTCGCAGACATGTTTTATATAGTTATGGCCCTACAATATATTATTAAAATATAGCATGATAGGTCCACTTTAACATTAACAGAGGCTTTTCTTTTTCCTTTTTGATTTTTCTCTTTTTTCTTCTGTTCCTCTTTGTGTCTCTATCCAGTGAACTACCGGGGATCCACAGGGTTCGGACAGGATAGCATTTTGTCCCTGATCGGCAATATCGGAACGCAGGATGTAAAGGATGTGCAGGTACTAGCTGACCATAAGTCATGGGCAGATTAAAGTTAGTTTTAAAAAAAAAAAAAAAAGGAAAATATTATTAATATTGAAGACTTGATTTGAGATAAATATGGAAAAAATACTAATTGCACACAGGTAAAAGGCTGACACAATATTTAGTAATTCATTTGAACCCACAGCCCAGTGTCACCCTCAAAGTGAAAATAATGTGTGTGTTCACCCAGAGGGCCGTGCTCACAGCGCTGCAGAGTGACATCACCCTCGACCCCAAACGACTGGCTGTGATTGGTGGATCTCACGGAGGTTTCCTCTCTTGTCATCTGGTGGGTCAGTACCCAGAGTTCTACAGGGCGTGTGCGGCCAGGAACCCTGTCATTAATGCTGCCACCTTATTGGGCACCAGTGACATAGTGGACTGGTGAGACGAACATGTTCACAAACACTCGTCAGCACGTGAGCTTTAACTGCATCACATCCCATGTTCCTAACCTGGCTCTGTGTCTCCAGGCGTTACAGCAGTGTGGGGCTTCAGTACTCGTATGACCAGATCCCCACTGCTGAAGCCCTGGCTGCCATGTTGGAGAAGTCCCCCATCACACATGCTGCTCAGGTCAGACACACACACTCCTGAAATGCATTTTTTTAATCATAATGTACGCATATAAAATACAACTTTTTGTAAGTTATTTTTGTATTGCAATTTATAAAGTTGCCTTGATAACAAGACCTACAGCTTCCAACATTCTAATTACTCCTTAAACCTCGGGAGAGGATATCATAGAAAAGTGTTGGAGTCCAAAATGACACTGTCTCAAACCTGCATTCTTCCAAATATGGCCAGCAGTGATGACTCCACTGGTTGCAAAAAGGATTTTGCAACCATAGAAGTTTATGAAACAATTACCTTCTTCTCACTTGATTTATATCTCAGTTACTAATGGATTACTCTGTAAACATTTATCCCGTTGTGTTTATGGTTTGAATCACCACTCTAAACTATTTTTCAATACAGAATTTAAAATGTCTCCATGCCATGGACTGCAGCTTGTCAAGAGACAACACACTTTATAAAGGGTTTAATTTCAGTGTGTTTATCTGTGTGTTTGTTTTTAGATTAAGGCTCCAGTGTTGTTGATGCTGGGGGGAAAAGACAGAAGAGTGTCCCCTCATCAGGGGCTGGAGCTCTACAAAGCGCTGAAGAGCAGAGCTTCACCTGTCAGGTACAGTCAAGCAAATATTAAATACACAAATAAAGACATCTACACAATCTGATCCAACACAACAGCCTACAAGTGGTTTAACTTCAGCTTAAACACACCTTTAGTTATACCCTCACCCTCATGAAGACTCCTTTTTGTAATTATTAAGACAAAACAATGGGCAATGCTTAAAATCTCTTTGTCTATGCAGATTGTTGTGGTTTCCAGAAGACGGACACTCTCTGTCCAGAGTGGACACACAGGCCGACTGCTTCCTCAACACAGTGCTGTGGCTGCACCAGCATCTCTGAACACACACCCAATGTGCACATGGACACACACACCTGCATGCACACGCACACACACACACACACACACACACACACACACACACACACACACACACACACACACACACACACACACACACACACACACACACACACACACACACACACACCATGTATACATCACTTCAGGGGACATTACATTGACTTCCATGCATTTTCTGGAGACTTATCCTAACATTAACCATAACTAACACATGCCTAACCCTAACCCTTACCCTAACCCTAATCCTAAACCTAACCAAGTCTTCACCCTAAAATTAATGATTCCCCTCATGGGGACCTCCAATTTGTCCCCATAAGGGAGGCGAGTCCCCACACGTGACTGTGTAAACAGGTTTAGGTCCCCACAAGTATAGTAATGCTAGGCCACACACACACACACACACACACACACACACACACACATACCATGTATACATCACTTCAGGGGACATTACATTGACTTACATGCATTTCCTGGAGACTTATCCTAACCTTAACCATAACCAACACATGTTTAACCCTAACCCTTACCCTAACCCTAACCCTAATCCTAAACCTAACCAAGTCTTCACCCTAAAATGAATGATCCCCCTCATGGGGACCTCCAATTTGTCCCCATAAGGGAAGCCAGTCCCCACACTATGTAAACAGATTTAGGTCCCCACAAGTATAGTAATGCTAGACCACACACACACACACACACACACACACACACACACACACACACACACACACACACACACACGCACACACACACTGTGATAAAGCTGTGCTGAAGAAGAAGCAGTTGACAATCTTGAACATAAGTCTGCCTTTTACATAACAAAAGAACACATTTTGTATGTTACAATGTACCTTATTTTATAAATATGTTCAAATCAAAGCATGTAATAAAACAAAATCCTACAAGCATTATTCTTATGAATGTATGTTGTCATGGATAGCTACTTATTTAAGGTTTTACAAACTATTACTGACACATGCATTTATATATTTTCTTCCACATAGTGTTAAAAAACCATAATTATGCTCTAATTTCCTAAAATTCCTAAACAAATTATATTAGTCAAGTCTATAGTTTCTATAAAATGCAATATATTTATTCCACTGATAATTTGTACCTATTATCACACCAACTTTACAATACTTTTAATGTAGTTTGTACAATGTCCAGCAGATGGCAGTCTCTGTCTAAACATTTACATTTTTTCTGAACATTGATCCTATTAATACTTTTACATTTTTATCACACCAGCTCTGGTATGCATGTAGGGATGTTCTAGACCTCTCTCTAGCCGTATCACTTGCTATTGATTTTTCCAAAGAAAAATGACCCAGCGCAGTCACATTTATAAAAGAAACATGTGAAGCGCTGTGACCACACAGACCCAGTGCAGAGCTTTAAAACACCCAAACCACTAGAAATCTCATCTGGATCCTTTCATTTCAAATTGTGACTGCCTTCCTCATGGGCTGCCCAAACAAATAATCTACTGTAACCCTTCAAAGAAGTTAACAATTTCACACAAGATCCAAAAAAAAGCATCTCCTACTGCTCTTTTTCTCAATTCTGGATTTCTCGTCGTGAAGATAAACTCTGGAGAAGAATGCTGGACTCTCTTGCTTAAAAGATATTTACAGCTCCTCACCAGACACTTGTTTACCTCCTCCCTCCATTTGGCACTTGGTTGGTTTTTCCACATTACACAATTTATTTTCAACAGCAGACTTCCCACAAATGCATGGATCAACATTACAGATTTATATTTTGTACCACTCAGAACAACAAGCACCCATGAGAAGGAATTCTGAAACTCCATCTAACATCTCAAAGCTTTCTCACAAACTATGACCTTGTTGAGGCCACAGTCCGCCCAGTCTCGTTCCCAGACAACACAAGTGGCCCTTCAACAGTTGATACTGGTGACAAATGAAATTCACAGATGCAGATTTTATAAGTGCCCGAAATGAGACACGGAGGTGGTTAATCTCGTCCAGGAGTTTCCGCTCACCCTAGCACTCAGACAGAAGTGGGTGTTAATTCTCCCCTCCATTATGGCTTTGTTCTGCGGCCTTGACTGCAGCTGCTGCCAGATGAAGTCACTGTAGTGTGGGTGTGGGGTGAGGTAACCAATTTTAGAGGGAGAAACGGATGGAGATTGAGAGATTTTTGATGACCAAGCAACAGATAAAGAAAGGAGGAGTGAGACAGAGGCGACCGGGTGATCGAGACAATGAATGAGCCGGATAGAGGGAGAAGTTCATGGCGCCCCGTTGTGGTATTCTGCTGTGTGGGTCGGGCACAGAGATGAAGCTTTGTTAAAGGCTGAAGACAGGGGAAGGACTCATGTGCATGTAGGAGGTAGACACACAAAGGAAGGAAAGACTGCAAGTGTGTTTTCTGACGCTGGGAGACAAAGAGTCTTTTTGAGTTGGTTTGTTCTGGTGCTTCCCCTCTTCAGCCGGGTGCAAAAGTAGAACAGCCCAGCAGAGGATGATGGAAAAGAGCTGAATACAACGAAACAGGAGAAAGCCACGTTAAGTTACATTGTCTTTCTAACAGACATCAGCCATGTAGGGCTACATCCCCAAAAGGAGCATGATTTTTTTTAAGCAAATGTCATGGCAGCGCTTCATATTGGAAAGCATTGTGACCTGAGGATGGTGCTAGAGGGAAACTCATGGAACATGCAAATGGAAGTGTCCAATTTTTAGGCAATGTAATTGCGCTTGGAAAATGACATGGAAATCTGCAAATTAGATTTCATTTTCTTCTTTTATTGTATCGCCTAATTGTAAACTTTGTCCAGATGTTGATTAGAAGTTCACCAAAACCTATAGCTAATGTGTAGCACAATGAATGTCTGTTCAAATATCTGAAAACAATTGCTTTAAATGAAGGGAAAGGCTTGACCTTTTGGAATAACACTTGGAATACCAAGAGTTAGATAAGAAAATCAATACCACTCATGTTTGTATGCTAAATATGAAGCGAGTTGCGCTTAGCATAAATGACATATTATGTGTTTTGCAGGGTTAGTCAAGCAGCAGAGATGACAACACTCCAGTAAAGGTGCTGCTTTTGTGCTGAGCTCACCTAAACTTTATATTTACTGTACCATCAAGAGATCTTCCCTTTAAAGACCTTTACACACAAGTGATAGGGCTAATAAACATAATGAAAATATGGAATACTCGCCTGCGAATATAGACTCTTCATTATGAAAGGTAAAAGACGTGGTATGCGGAACCTTTGTTTAGTTTAACACGGTTTGGACTATGGATGTTTCATGGTTGTTTAATAAATAGCCTGTTTTCTTAAGGTTGATTTTGAGTAAGAAGTGAACGTGTCCTGTCTAAGGTCTAATGGTGGAAACACCTGTTAGTGCTTGAGACATTCAAACCACAGTAGACAAGGCCTGGCATCAACCCTTAACTGAGTTTCACTCCTCTGTGAGCGTTCTTGTTGAAGTAAATTGACCTTAAAATCCTGGTCATGTTATGGGATTGAGAAGGTAATTTACTGTGATATACTGTACACTCTAATGCTTTACAGAATAAAGACAAAACTGTATGCTATGTTTGACAGGAATGGGTAGAAATCGGATTTGATTGGGGTTTTGAGGGTGAAAGACTATTTTTCAAGCTGTAAAAGGCTGTTCAAATGTCAATTTCCTGGTTAGTATATGTAAAATAAATAGTTTTACGAGGTGAATAAATCAAATTCTCCATCATAAAGTTCCAACACCTGCACCCCGGGCTGGGCATCCCCCCGTCTCATCCAGACCTTTGAGCCATGACCTTCACCTGTGGGCTCTGGGTGTGTGCCAAGATGTTCCTTTAACATCTGACTTCACAGGTTTCATTAAAACATGGCCCTTAGCTTCTCGATCCTCATTACTTTGTCCCCCTGAACTCTCTTCCTGTCCTCCATCTTCGCTATTTTCTTTGTCACTCTGTTTTTACCACAAAACAGCATTTGTATGTGAACTCAGTGTTCATTAACAAGCTGTGAACATAGGTCTTAACGGGGGGAAGCAGCATTTTACCATCTCCCTTTTGATTCACCCTTTGACTGTTCAAAGTTGTTTGCAGAGTGATCGGGCCCCTCTCAGGAAAGGACGGGACGTTCCGTTATGTCAGATTCACGTATGCCTCTCCCTTTTTTTCCCTTTTCATTCTTTCTCCCTGTCATCCATTCCTTGTCAGTCATTCTGTCTCTTTCTCTCCAGCTATCTTTTTGTGGAATGTGCTTTGTTAAATGCCAATGAATCACAACAGAACGGTGGGGTTGTCTGTCTCTGGGATTTAAATGGTTTTACGACGCAGCTGGTTGGGACCGTGAAGGCTTTGAGTTTTCGTCTATAACAGGTGGAGCTTTTGTCTGTGGTGGAGGAGGTGGGCTGTGTTGGTGGTTATGAGGATGCTGTAAATGCTTTGAGGTCTGGTTTGTGTTTGCTTTCAGGTTCAGTAGAGATGTGTGAGATGGCTATGTGTTGAGGAGCGCATGTTGGGCAAAACACACACACACACACACTCTCTTTCATCTGTCCTCCATCCATTTGGCTCGCCTCCATCTTTCTTTTGTCACGTTCATCTATCTCGCTATTCCCATGCTGCGTCCCAGGCTACTTTTGAACCATTGCCATGCAGGATAATGTTGGGAGGGGATTTCTTGGCTCCTGGGTTACAGTTTAGTCTTTTAGCATGGGGCTCTTATCCTGAGAACGACTTACACAATAGACGAGACATCTGCAAATCCTTCTTCCTGCTGAGAGAGTGATATCTGTTGACCTCCTTGTCTGTGCTGCTATGAGTTGTTTTGGTCGCCGGATGATGCAGGAGTAATGCCCTGTTTAGTTGAGAGAATGTAAAAAGTGGAGCCATTTGGTTTATATGGAACATTTTCTCATTTGAATTAGCTGATATATGTCCCGAGAGATTTTAAAGGCCCTTTATCTTGGATACATGAAGGGAGAGATGATGGTAGAACACTATATCAGGGTGTGATCAATAGTAGGTGCATTCACACCTAATAGTCCGCTCTCTGGTGCGCACCAGGGGCCTCATTTATAACGC